AAATATTTTAATACATTTTTGACAGGTTCTTCTACACAAATAAATTGAATTTATGTTGGTTCTTATTATATTTGTACATACTATGTAAATTTGTCAATTATATTTTGTGTTCATTATTATGAGAAGTAAATTTTCTAAACGCAAAATAGATAACTTATCTTTAGATCCCAATATCTTTTAGGATAATTCTATATCCTTATTTCTAATGAGAATATATTTATAGGTCTTTCTGGAAAATACACTCTTTATTACATTCTTCCTCATGATACTAATTCATTTGTAACCCACCTTTTTAATAAATCATCAATTTTTCTATCTATTCAAAATTTTAAGTCATAAACACAATAGATAGGCCATTCTAATAATTTTTTCTTCTTCGATAATGTAATTTTCCTCATATTGAGTTATCTTCCAGAAATTCACTAATATTACATTCAAAAAATTAGCTAATAAATGAGAGAGAGGCACAAGTAAAATTGTATTAAGATTTTATTAAGCTTGCGAACGATAAAAAATACATGAAAGGATTTCCTAATAAATAAGAAAAAATTTGAAGTTTTAATTGAATCATTAATAAAAGAGAAATAAAGGCAATTTATCTAAAAACTCAAAGCTATTTAACACGAATGTAATAAGTAAAAGCCAATAAAAGTGTTCACTAACTTTACATGTATTTTAAAATTTTATATAGACGGTAACAGATTTTCTGTTTATGTTTGGTAAAAGGATTTTTATATAATGTAACAATGTTTGCAAACAATAATAATAAATTATGGATGTAACTAAAAAGGAAACAAATAAATTTTTCCAATAAAAATGTAATGACTAATATTAAAACTGTTAAACTGTTTTTATAAAGGGATTGCGGGAAAATAATATGGAATAAATTTAAAACATTTCTTACAATTTGTGCAAATGTTACCTAAAATAAATAGCTATTGTCCATCGGTCTATGAATGTTTCTTAAACCATTTTTCTTTTGAAATGTTTTTATTCTCAAAAAGGAGGAAAGATGTGTTTTGGTCCCATCCTTTTCTCATTTTGTATTTTAGAAAAAAGTCATATAAAATGGAAAAAACTAAAAAATTTTAGATGGATCCAAAAAAAACGCCAAATCGAAGATTACCAGTCTATATTTTCTTAATTCGCACTTTAAACTTTACTTTTTTTTTTTGTTTTCCTATTTTCCTTCCCCTTTTTCTTTTCTTTTATTGTTTTTTTTTGAAATTTATTGCTCTTCTTGTAACGTGAGGAACACGTCCTCCATTTTATGTTTTACTTAATATATACCCGAAACAACCAAAAGAATATAAACAAACACCAAAAAAATAGAATTGAAATTATAAGTTCAAAACAATATTAATTTAAAATTTTGTAAATATTTCCTAAAGACCCCCGTATTTTCTATATACTCTCGTTAACTAATGGTGTAATATTCGAAATTATCAAAACACAAAAGGGAAGTCTAAAATTAAATTCTAACATAAAAATTAATATTCGACCATAAAGTTAAAACACCTTTAGAGTGAAAATAAATAAAGATAGAAAATAAAAGCTAAATAAGAATAAATAATAATGTCCCGATGAATAAAATGCTGTCAGTAATGATTCACCTTTTACCTGAAGAAAATTATGGCTGCAAAAAAAAATTTCATTATACAATAACAGAAAGTCATCACGAGAGATAACATAAAAAAATTGTAAAAAGTTCCGCCTGGAGTTTTTTTTTGTGACTGGCGTTTTAATTTCGATTTTTTCTGAGTTCCCTTGTTTTCCTTCCTCTTTTTTTTTTGTTTTATTACTTTTCCCTCCTTATTTTTGAAAATTTATCACGTGAGGAGCAGACAAAAGAATAACCAATCTTTAAAAATGAAACATTTTCTGTCATATTTCGTAATATTGAGCAAAAAGATAATATGTCAAAATAAATACTTTATAGGGACTTCTAGCAGTTATCGAATAAATTCGAATTTTTCTTGAAAGTAATTTTGTTCTATCTTGAGACGTTTTATGGCTATAGATTGAATTTCAAATCTTTTTATCTTTCTCTGCTAAGTGATTCCCCATGATTGTGTTGGTTGGAGCTTTGACGCACTTATAGATTAATTAAATCCTATTAAAAAAAATACTTTTTTTGATGTGGTTTTTCTTATTTGAAGTGGTTCTTCAAAAGAACCATCCGGTGCTACCAGTGAGGTTTACACGTATTGGGCCACCCAGTAAATTAAATGAGGCGAGGTATCGACACCGTGAGGGCTACTCTATCTTCAAATACAACGTTGTATGTGCTCCGTTAGAAGCAAAGCTTAGGCCCTAATTGTTGCGCATAAAATAATATTTATTTAAATGTAAAATTTAAAATCGCGATTGAATAAAGTAAAGTTAAAGCTAACAAAATTATTAATAATATAATTGATTATAGAGTCGACATTGAATAACAAAAGAGAACGTTCCCGGGAAAAGAAATTTAGCGCTTATTAATAAACAATTAGCTAGCGTCGCTGCTCTCCGACAAAGTGATCGCTTTTCTTCTCCCGTTGGGCCCAACTAGACTGATCCCTTTCAACTGTTTTCCCATGCATTAAATAATCCTATCCTTATCCTTATAGGGCGGGTGCTTAAGTGTTCTTCCTGCTTGTCAAGGACAAGCACGGCCTTACAGTATTTTGCCAACGTTATATTTTGCCAATATGGCTAGACCCCCACGTTTTGTCACAAAGTTTGTTGGCAGACCGATTGTAGTTTTACCTATTGGCAAAATAAGTAGAAAAATTATGAAAAGGGTACAGCCCAAAACTGCGCGGGCCAAAACTGCGCGACCGAAACTACGCGACCGAAACTGCGCAGGCCAAAACTGCGCAAGCCCAAAACTACGCAGGCCAAAACTGCGCAAAACTATTTAGTAAAAAAAATAAAGAAAAAAAAATAAAAATATTCTCATAACGGACAAGTCAGCTATACGCAAAATACTTAAACGGATTTGACTCCGGCACAAGATACACCAAAAAATCATCCTGAAAGTCGCGCGATTTTGGCAATTCCTCAGAACTACCAACGTTTTGAATATAAAGCTGAAAAGAAGATGAGCAAAGAATACTTGTTTTTGGTCGAGAAAGTTCCGAAGGTTTAGCTGAAGGTTTTTAGACTAACTAGTTAAAGGAAACTAACTAGTCTCTTTATTAACTATAAGCTTGGTCACATCTTATTGAAGACTAACTAGTTAAATCAAAATTTTTGTTGTAAACCTATGTTATTTTCCTGGTTTATTATCCTGGTTATTGAATTTTTTGTTAGAATGTTTTACATTTAATAAATTTTGATGAACACCGAATTTTAAAAATCGGCAAAAAAGACGGAAATCGATGGGAGAGATCCTATCCATGCTAGTTAGTTTGCGCAGTTTTGGCCTGCGTAGTTTTGGGCTTGCGCAGTTTTGGCCTGCGCAGTTTCGGTCGCGTAGTTTCGGTCGCGCAGTTTTGGCCCGCGCAGTTTTGGGCGTGTCCCTTATGAAAAGAAGGGTACAGCCCAAATAGGCGCGGCCATAACGGCGCAAAGCCATAACTTGCTTAAGGATTTCTTAACTCTACCAGATTTAGTATTAAACGCTTCCACTCATCGAGCTAAAGAGATTGGTACCAAAATTATTAAGAGCCTTAAATTTTCCAGCAAGTTGTAGATTTGCGCCGTTATGGCGCGCGCCTAATTGGGCGTGTTCCGAAAAAGAAAAAATTAGGAAACAAGAAAAGAGAGAGTATGGGAAAAGAAAAAAAGTAAAATTGATTAAAACATAATGCCAAAATTAATTATTTTAGTAAAATTTTAATCTTGGATTTTTTTATTCTTGAATTTTCTATTCCTTGGGTTTTGTTTTTTTTTGTTATTTTTTTGTTTAATTTTGTTTCTTTTTAAGTTCTGATTTTAACTTTCTTGCGCTGAAGCTAAACTTTTGAAATGCCGATTAAAGCATCTGGAGAAACGGTTAATTTTTCGTAACATTTCGCAATATTTTTAATTTCCAGTTGAGGCAATACATCGTTATTGGCCGTAAACTTCCTACAGAGAATGAGCCAAATCCAAAACTCTACAAGATGCAAATCTTTGCCAGTAATCATGTTGTTGCCAAATCGCGTTTCTGGTACTTTACTAGTATGTTGCGTCGTGTCAAGAAGACAAATGGAGAGATTGTTTCGTGTCAAGAGGTTTGTTTTTTATTTTTCACTTCAACTTTCCTGTTTACAAACACATAGGTACCGAGTGGGGCATCAAGGGTGGAAAGGGGTAGACAAACAAGGCAGGGATATCAGAGTGGTGGCGAACTGGGTTGACCTGTCTTTATTTCATCATCCGTTCTCCAACTTTTATTTTTATGGTGACTCGGTTCTTTCAAGACTCACGCCATCTATTTCCCATATCACCCTCCAATTCATGATCAGTTCATCCTTCAACCTTTCCCCAATTTTTTAAATTTTAAGGTTTTCGAAAAGAAGATAGGCTCTGTAAAGAATTATGGAATTTGGCTTCGTTATGACTCTCGAACTGGTCATCACAACATGTACCGCGAATACCGCGATGTGACGATGGCTGGTGCTGTCACTCAGGCTTATCGCGACATGGGTGCTCGTCATCGAGCTCAAGCCGATCGAATCCAAATAATCAAGGTTCAACCGATCAAGGCTGCCGACTGCAAACGTACTGGAGTTAAACAGTTCCACAACTCGTCAATCAAGTTTCCGTTGCCGCATCGTGTGAATGACAAACGTCGAAAGATGACTCCGTTTACGACACAGAAGCCGAAGACACATTTTGCTTGAATTAATTTTTTGTTGTCTTTTGGGTGTTGAGAGAGTTTTGTTGTTGTTGAAAAGAAAGGATAAATTTTGTTGAATAATTTTAAATTTATTTTTAAAAATTGTTTCTTTTTTCAATGAATTTTTTTTATTCGTTTTAATCTAAAATTTTTAAAGTTTTCCAGAGAATTTGCTTTAAATCGTTCAACAAAAGATGGCTGAAAATATTCCTGAGGGTGATTACGAGAAGGGAAAGAAGATTTTCAAGGCGAGATGTTTTCAATGCCATGTACGGTTTAATTTTATTAATTTTTTCGGGGGACTTGTTTAGAATTTAATGTTGGTGGATGTGTTAAGTGGCTCACCGGGTTCTTTACGGTTATTCTCTAAAAGGAGCTGTTTTGTGGTTTAGTGTTAAGGGGGTATGTTAAGTGTTATGCCCTAGGGTGCGGCCTATTCTGGTGACTAACAATAATTTTCTTCCCCCTCTTCTAATATTTAAAATTTAAATTATTTCTTTCAGGTCATCGATTCGGATGCTGCCAAGACTGGACCAACATTGAAGGGTGTTATTGGTCGCAAAAGTGGATCGGTTCCTGGTTTTGATTACTCCGCTGCTAATAAGAACAAAGTTTTATTTTTTTTTAATTAAGAACATTTTAAATTTAAAAATTAATTTAAAGGGAGTGGTTTGGACTCGTGAGACGTTGTTCGAGTACTTGCTGAATCCTAAAAAGTATATTCCTGGCACTAAGATGGTTGGTTTATTTCAAATGTTTAATGAGGATTTTCTGCTTTCTGTCCATCATTCTCCTCTGTAAATGCTTCTAAAACCAAAACTGACTGATCATAACTCGCCCTAAATGCATTTTGTAGCAAAAAGGAATTCACTTCACCATGGGAAATCGGGGGTCCTCTATCGATTAGACCCAAGAATACAAATTTTTTGTATCAGTAAACGATGTTATTTTTGGGGGTGGCCCATAATACCAAACGCCGTAATACCCAACCCCAAAAACTGCAAAATACCCAAATGTGGAAGGTTGTTTCGATAAAGGTGAAGGTTGCTCCACCAACTTGGAAAATTGTTAACAATCCACATTTTGGTATTTCGGGGCGCTTTTTTGGCAGTTTAGTATTAAGGCCCGTTCATTTGTTTAAACTGGGATTTATTAAATAATTTTTCTCTAAATTTTAAAGATATTTGCTGGGCTGAAGAAGGCTGATGAGCGTGCGGATTTGATAAAATATATTGAGGAAGAAGGCAAGAAATAAGAAGGAAGAGAAAAAATATATTGTCGAAGAATACTTTTTGTTATAATTAGGATAGAGAAATTAAGTAAAAGAGGCTTGTGTTACGTGAATGTTTTTTTAATTTTTACCTCTATAAAATTATATAGATTTTTTGGTATGAGGATTAAGTGGGAAGTCGACAATTGTATGGTTTTGAGGGAAGGGATGTCTCGATCAATTCTGATCCGATTTTCAAAATTTAAAATGTTTCTGAAATTTTAAAGTACCCCTTTTGCACAATTCTTTCTGAAGACAAAAATGACAAACATCAAAAACTTGGGAAAGATGCCCAGTAAAAAAAGAAAGGAAAATATCAAGTCGTCATGGATTTTACCTAGAGCAGAAATATTTACAGAAATCTTTAAAAAATTTAAAGGCATCAAACACGAGAAAATTTATTACAACCAAAAAAGAAAATAATTATCAAGATATTGCTTTAAGGAAATAGAGAACAACACATACAATACAACATTTATTTTTTATTTAAAGTAAGAGGTAAATCGAAATTTTAATTTTCGAAAAAAAATTTTTTTAGGATCTCCGAAAATCTGTCAAATTTCAGATTTTTTATTTTCAAAAAAAATTATTTTCGGATTTTTAAGGCAGTTAAGTTTTTCGACACCTCTTACGTTTCCTACACACACAGAACTCTATATCTATATATTTATTTATCTAGAATAACCGATTCAAGGATTCGAGACCCCAATTGTGGGTAAGCATCCCTCGCCAATTTCCAACCTTCCGTTTGAAGAAACACATCGTGTCCACGAATATAACATACGATAGCCTGAAAATAATATTGGTAAAAGAAGAATATTCTGTTAATTTTACCTTCTCAAGAATTGGAGCGCCAAACAAATCGATTAAACGGCAATAGTTGACAATATTGTTATTATCTGGAAAAAATATTTTAAAATATTATCATAATTCACAAATTTAATATTCCCCCTGAATTTTAAACTAAAGCTTTTTAGTCCCTCGCCCCTTCAAAACAAACAATTTCGGATCCATAGCCCCAAAAATTTTTCAAAAAATTCCTTACTAATCACGCTCGACATGAACATTTCGCATACAGATTTTAACAAGTCTACTTTATATTTATGCGCCAAAACAAAGATTTCCTCCACGTGATTCTCCAAAAGTCCTTTGTTTATCTCTCCGGTGTACAAAAATTCAAGCAATCCTCGAACATGTTCCGGTTTTGCGTTAGGAATTGAGATTTTCTGAACCTGAATTTACAATTAAAGTATGAATTTTAATCAATTTTTAAATCAATTTTTAGTCTCCTTTTAAATTTCGGGTCCATGGTAATACCCAAAAAAAGCCAGGAACTTTACTACATTCCACAAAATTTAATCAAACTTCAAATAATATACCATATCCATAGAGTCCGCACTCTGTTCTAACAACTCCTGAAGCACAACACTTTTTGCTAGAATACAGCGATGCGCACTAATAGAGACTCCTTGAACCTTAAAAAATAAATTTTATTTTTTAATTGTTAAATTAACTCTTACCAAAATCACGCAATCGGTGAATTTTTGGTTTTCGTACATTTGTCTACAAGAGGCTATGAAGTTTTTGTTTCTGTCGTAAAGATCCACCTCAAGCTTGCAATGAATCCTTAAAACATCTAAAAATTTTAGATTTATTTTTACAAATTTTTTAGTAAACTAACCAGACTCCAGCAATTGGTGAACATTTATCGCTCTGAAACCCAATTTGGTTTGATCCTCAAAAAGTTTGGTTGATCTTAAATTATGAATGAAAATTTATTGTAAAGATCAGTCTACGTTACCGCGTTAACAAAATTTCGTTTCCAAATTTAACCACGAACAGTTTATATTTAGTGGTGACTAGACCGTTGAAGTTTTGTTTTCCCATTTGTTCGAGGTAAACATAACCAACGGAGCTACAAATTTTCAACACGATTTTCCAACCAAGTTCAGGTAATTCAGGCGATGCAAATGGTTCACCTGAACAAAAAGAAAATTTTTTAATTTAACAAAAAATAGTATACTTGTTAGGAAAAGTTCTTCTCCAAGTCCGACTGCACCAAGAATTTTGAACATGTTCTTGAAATCCCACCAAAAGTCGATTTTGACCGGAGTAGACATCTAAAAAACAAAGAAAATTTCTAAAGAGTTACAAAATTATTTTTGTATTTTACCTTTCTTTGTTGTAGAATAAACAAGAACCGTCAAACGAGAAACGTCGAAGAGATTTGTTTTTGTGTATAGAACGGGAACCACAAAATAGGCCAACAGCGACAATAAAACAGGACGAAAATCTTTTTAGAAGGCTAAAAGTATTTAGAATAATGGAGGGAGTTGTAAGGAAGTGAAAGAAACTTTTATATAAAAGAAGGCTTTTATAGTCAGCCTATAGAAAATACTGTAGAAGATTGAGAGAAAGAGAGACGTTAATAAACACTATGCCAATTTGCTAAATAAATTAAACAATGCGAGGAAATTTAAATTTTAATAACGAAGAACAAGTCTTTTTGACTATAAAATCTCTTTTAAAAAATAGAAAATAAATCAGCAATTAGACGAGACCAAGGCTGCGTTTACATTGACATCCGTATCAAGCGTTCTGTTGAGCGTTTTGTCGAGCGTCAAGCGCACCTCAACACTCGACACGGATCCGATGTAAACGTAGTGTACAAGGCAAGAAGTGCCGATAGAAGATAACAATAAAAGAAACAGAACAATAGAACAACTCTCATTAAGAAAAAACGGAGATGGCAAAATATGGAGGCGAAAGCCTCTTTTCTGATGTATTAAAAGGTACACTTAGGAATCCTCAAAATTTTTGCCCGCGGCGCAAAAAAAAAGAGAGAATTTTTGACTTTCTCTCTTTAACAAACTACAAAAAGAGTTTAAGGGATTTTTAATATAAAATGCGGAAAGTTTAGCTCAAACTTGCGGATTTTTAAAAATTAGAGATTCGAGCCCTGCTATAAATTCATAAGACGAATAGAAAATTTAATTGTTATCAAAAATTTACGGTATATGCAATATGCATAAGAGTAATTTAAAAAAATTTTTAATAAATTTATTGCCCAAATATTTGTTTAATTCTTTCCAAATAAAAGCCAAGCATTGTTTGCTCCACTCGAAAAATGATTGTTTTGATCTGAAAAGAAATTTTTTAGAGTTTAATTTTTGTGATTTTTGAGTGAAGAATTATAAGGTTTGATTTTAGCCCCAATAGAGTAGGTTATTTTGAGATTTGACTGTATTATTATGCTGTGGTTACATAAAAGTCGCTTTGCGTCTTGCAACAGAAAATATCACTAATAAGAAAGAGAGACAAAATCGCGCGCGACTTTTCCCTCCTCATTTCCCATTATCTTTTCTGTCGCAAAACGCGCGCGGTTTTTATGTAACCCTAGCATTAGTGTTTCTTTAAAAACTTGATTGGAATGGAATATGGAATAGAACTGCAAGTGTAAAAGTTCTTACACTGCAAGTGTAAAGAACAAGGAAATGGGCAGCGGCTGGAAATAACAACAGCAAATTTGCATCAGCCGATGGGTAGTTGGATGGCCGAACTGATTAGGCCGTAGTTTGGAGAGAAGGGGCCCTTTATCTAAGGACATCAGTCCAACTCAATTTTTCATAGAACTATCGGTAAAACTGTGCCCTATCTTTGAGGCACATTGTCCCTGTTAATTTTGACTATAACCTTTTTCGCTTTGTCTTTATTCTTCTCGGTCCATTTTTTAATTGTTTCTAGCCCAATATTTACGGCATCTCTGCGTGAATCTTCATCGGCTCTAAGCGATAACATTTCCGGAAATGCCTTAAAGATTAAGTTTTTATTTTTTAAAAATATTTTCTACAAGTTTCTGCAGTTCTAACTCCACAACCAAATTTAATGCTCTCTTGTAGCACTCGGCAAGTTTTTCTTTATCCTCCTGTGTTTGAAGCACTACAGGGGGTACTGTGTGGATGATTTCTGTAAAAAGGGAATTTGTGTATTTTTGAATTTTTTTCGTGTTTTTTGTGTTTTTGTTTTATGGGAAAAATTGTATTGAGGGCCAAGACTTCGATACAGTTGATACAGTTGACCTCGTTAAGCATCGGAACAGCCGTGGGATGGATATCCAGAACGCCACAACCAAGTTTTGGTTAAATATTTTATTAAAAACATAATTATATTATTGGGGGGAAGTCACGGAATCCGCGGCACGGAATCCGCCCAGTCCGTAGAGGACATGTATCTTGGCTCATATGTGTAGGGAGCAGGCTAATGTAATCTACTTCCTAATGTACCTTCTTTCGAATAGCATCCATAACGCTAGTATCGGAGTAGCCCTCAAATACAATTTTACCGTCTGTTTTTGTATGTTTCTATATTCGCGTATTTTTGTATTTTCTATTGCTTACTTTTAGCAAAATAATAACGTCCAATTTGAAAACTTTCAGTAGCAAAAGCATCCCCAACCGGCAACCCTCCCTTTTCTTTTGCTATTTGCTCCAATTTTTTAGCTAGAACTGGTCCCGCATTTCGAACAATTCTTTCACTAACACTTGATTCTAATCCTCTATTATATCCATCCATTGGGAGATTTTCTGCTTCCTCCAATAATTCTCCCCATTTTTGGTCATCATTTACCATTTGTTGCCATTGCTGTATTTCTTTAGGGAAAATTTTTTTTATCTGTGACTAGGTGATAATGTGATAACTTATCAATAGATTCTCGTATCATTCAGTATAGGGAACTTCCATTATAATGGACCTTCGTTATAAGAGACTTCCATTATAAGGGACTTTACTTCTAAGAGACTTTCCTTCATTATAAGAGACTTTCATTATAGGGGACTTTTCTAATTGGACTTAACCTACCTCTGATTGAGATTAATTGAGAAACCCCACCCACAAGATTAGGCATTTGAGGGCTATGCCCGAGGACGAGAGCAAATGATGTTAAATTCCCCCACCGTGGATCTCATTACTCTTTTTCCAAAAAATCTTTCTTACTTCTTTTGGCCTGTGTCGCCCGTTCCTTCTGCCTCAAATTATTTCCTGGCTCAACCATGTTTGCCAATTTAGTCAAAGCTCTGAGCAATCTCTTCTTATCCAGACTATCCTTATCTTTTACATCGACAACATCAAAGAGTGACTTTGCACGTAAAACTTTAAGGATTGCTTCGTCTCCATTTAAGGGTTCTGAAAACAATTTTTTAATTTTCAAAAAAAAACAAAAATATACTCTCCCATCCTCTACTTGCTAATTTAACATTAATTTATTTTTTACTTAATATGAAAAAGTTAATTTTTGCTTTTACTTAAACACATGGATGTTTCACGGTAATCGGAAGTATTAATGTAATAAATCTTTATTAATTTTTGGAACGGGGGCCAACTGCAGTGGCCCCTTCATTAGCTATTTGTAGGAGGTACTCTCCCAAAATACTCTCTCATCCTCTATTTGCTAATTTAACATTAATTTATTTTTTACTTAATATGAAAAAGTTAATTTTTGCTTTTACTTAAACACATGAATGTTTTATGGTAATATCTACATAATAATATTTTAATACTTTAATTTTTGGAACGGGGGCCTACTGCAGAGGCCCCTTCATTAGCTTCTAGAAGGCCAAGTTTTAAGATTCTAAATTTGAAACCTTTTCGTAGAGTTTCCTTCTCAATATGTGATGTTATTAATTTATCCCAGTTTTAATTTTAATTAACCTACCAACGGAGAGGGATGGCCTTGTTGGATTTACTATAGCCATAACTCGAGCTTCCAATATATCGCCTCTCTCTGCCTTTATTTTTAGATCAAGCTAAAATTTTAAATTGATTTTTTATTATTAAATTTTTGAATCCAGATATAACGTCATCCAAAGGGAATGGACGAGTTTGGAAAGATTCCTTTTGGTTAGTCATATAGGTATTGTTGTATCCATATTAGATCATGAGGCTCTCGGTTATGTTAATTATCGCTTAGGTGGTGGGGAGGGTATTCGGATCCGGGGGAGGTTATTGAGGAATGCCTTCTTGGCTTGGATCACCTCCCGGAGCCTCCCAGGCCTTGCTGGCCCGATCATTTTTAATCAATCTTCTATCATCCAAAAAATTTTTTTATTCCTTACATCTCTACTAGGTCTATTCCTCCTCCTAAAATCGTCATCTACATTCTTCCCATTCCTCCCATTAAAATCATCATTATCCTCCTCTATATCCCTCTCATTTTCTTCTTCATCTCCCCATTGCCTTTCTTCACTCCATTCTTTATTTTTATTATTCCATTTATCTTCAATACTTCCATATCCATCATTTTCTGTATTTTTCGCCTCAGATATTAATTTTTGGCGAAGACGTGAATTTTGGATTTGACTGATTTTGAATAAATTTTGGCCGTTTCTTTGATTTCCGCTTGAAAAAAATTTTTTTCTCGTTTTTATTTTTCAATCCTTACGTGGTACAGACAGCATCAAATTCCAATTTTCTCATTCCTCTTCTTTTGAATACCCTGGCTACGCAACCTATTCTTCTTGCTCTTGAGTCGACAAGCTGAAAATGGCCTCGAGGGATTAAAAAATTTTTTTTCTCAATTTTGACCTTTCGAGTTTAATACAGTTAGGACCTCATTCTACATATGATATCCCCTTGGAGCTTATAATAGGGGGTACCTTATAATAAGGGGTATTGCCTAGCCAGAGAGTATCGCCAGTCCATCTTAAAAAGAGGTGTAACTATTATTGGGGGACGGGTTAGATACTGTTACAAGCTTCGATTATATAACAAGGGTTCCTCTTGTACCTCAATAGGAATTCTATATTTCGAATTTTGTAGAACATAGCAATTTCCAGTCTTCTCGCATTGTATATAACGCCGAATGACTGCCTGAAATAAACTTTCCATTCCAAATTGAAGATTTGAGGCAATCCCGTCAGAAGGATTAGTTATTGGAACAGCTAAAGGCTTCATTTGGTTATAATCTTTTTTTGATAAACTTTTGGCTAGTTGATCATCCCATGACTGTGAAAGTGAAAATTAAAAGAATTTTTTTATTTGTGAAGTTTTGATTAATCCCATTTTTTAATAGTGAGTTTAATAATCCCCATTCTGATTTTCTGTTTCATGCCCTCTATTTTTCAGAATTCTGGTTTAATTCTGATTTAAATATTTCAGAATTCAGGTCTGTTGGTCTATGTACCTATTTCAGAATTTTGCTTAATTCTGATTTTCATTTTTCAGAATTTTTAGTTTAATTCTGATTTTAAATATGTCAAAATTCTGGTTTCTGTTTTAACTATTTCAGAATTTTGTTTAATTCTGATTTTAAATATTTCAGAGTTTTTCAATTTCAGAATTAATATTTTTAAGTTCTGATATTTTTTAGAAATATGTAAATTCTGATTTTATAGAAACAGAATTATTTTTAAAAGAAAAATTCTGATTTTTCTGATTTAAATTCTGATTTTTAAATTCTGATTCTGATTTAAATTCTGCTTTTTAAATTCTGATTTTGATTAAATTCTGATTTTTAAATGCTGATTTAATTTTCTCTCACCAGTCGACTAAAAGTATTTCCCAATTTTTGCCTTCTTAACAAATTAATTTTTTCCAATGCTTTATTCCAAATATTTTCTCCACTTCTTCCATCCATTTTATTATCAAAGGTATACAGAAAAGGCCCAATAGCTTCACTCCAAAATTTAGCTTTTGGATTTTCTTCTATTTTTTCTTCCCTTCCATACTCATCTTCAAATAATTTTTTTAATCCGTAATCGCCAAATTCGTTCGGAGTTTCTTCAAATTCGTCCCAATAATCGTCCGGTTGATTGTTTGCTTTTGCCAAGGGATATATCTTTTGATTAAAAATATTTTTTGCAGAAGCTCGATATAAGCGACTATTCTATATAACGTCGAGATAAGACTACGATATAAGAGACTATAATGTGCTGTCAGAATGAACTCCCGATATAAGAGACTCCTCTTTTTACTGTTGAAATGAGACTCTTTCTATAAGAGACTTCCCTATAAGAGACCCTTATGGATGAAGTCTGGGTGGGACAATTATCCCTGGGTGGGATAATTGAACAAAGTACTCTAAGTCTCCTATATTGAGCTTTATTGTATATTACAATTTTTGTGGACATCTTATATTAATTTTTAAGGATTTTCTGATTAAATTTTGCTTTTAATTATTTTTATAATTTATTTTAAAATATTCTACTTGAGTTTTTGGCCAATAATTTCCTCCATAGCCATAAGTCGAGTGGCTGATTGAAACGAAATTAAATATTAATAATATTCTAATTAGCATTTTTAGAAGGATGATTAATTTATTTTTTAATGGGAAAATTATTTGGAATTTTTTTCTGATTTTTGGAGATAAATTTAGCAACAATCCCTTCCCTCCTGACAGTTTTTTCTCCCAAAAAAAATTTTTTTTGAATTATTACTCAAATAATTCCTCTATTTCTTAATATTCTTTAGCGAGAGTCAACTGTGCAAATCTCTGAAAAAATCTAAAAATGACGATAATAAAGGCAAAAATAATTTTTTTTGTTTGGTGTTTATCTCCCTCTAAAAAAACTCTCTACCGCTCTTGTATTTATTTGCCAATAAAATTCAAAAATTAAAGAATAAATTTTTTTATTTAAATTAAAATTTAAATTAATGCTTCGAAAAATTTTCTATTTAAATTTAATTATTTTATTTTCAAGAATTTAGAAGAATTAAGAAAAAATATGGGGTCAATTGAAGTCGAGAACCACCAAACTTCCAAGATCTATAATTCTTAAAGGACTTAATCTTTTAAAATTCTTTTGGTATCATTCGATAGGGAATTAAATTTGCTACATAATAGGTTTAAAATAAAAATTTAGAAAAATTTTTAAAGAAGTTTTATAGTCAAAAAACTACCCCTCTCCTATAAAATATGCTCAAGTTTCATCAAGTTTTTCGTCCATGACTTTTCCAAAAGTCAACTTATATTTTCATTTCTAGGCTTATTTTGTAGCAAATTTAATTCTCTATCGAATGGTACCAAATTTGTCTAAAAATATTTATTCACTCAGAAGTTATAAGGTCTGAAAGTCAGTTGACCTCTACAGAGGGTATTATCAATCTTTTTAAATTTTTTTAAATTTATTGCTTCAATAATGTCTTCTTCCAGTTATTTTGTCCACAACTCGTTCAAGCATTCCTCTCTTTTTATATCCATAATGATTTCCATATCCATTCCCATATCCCCCTCCATATCCGTGACCATAGCCACGACGTCGTCCATAATACCCACGCTGGCTGCTTGAAGAGGAAAAAGAGGAAGAACGTTTTTTCCACTTTTTGAAACGCTTAACCCGTGAAAGGGTGCTAAAATGGAGAATTTTTTTAATAAAAAATTTTTTTTCAAAGTTGACCCGTCCTCGGCAGCCGCCTGTCCAGACATTGAGCAAATACTCATTAATAGAATAATTAAAATGATTAAATGGATAAGACGCATTTTTTAAATTTTATTTTAATTTTAGAATTAATTAGGAATTTATTTTAAGAGTAAAATTAATTTTTGAAAATTAAAAAAAAATTTTAAAAAATAAAAAAAATTTTTTTAACGTTCTAAAATCAAAAATTTAATAGGGAAATTAATTTTAAGCCAAGAAAAAAAATTTACTGATAAGAAAAATAAATTTAGAAAGAAAATTGTTTGTTTGTTTATTAAATTAGAAATGATTTCTGTGTGTAATTTGGTGATAAAAAATTTTTTAACAAATGAATTTTTAACTTAAATTAAATTTTAAAAAGAGTGGTGATTAAAGCATTCACATGATTCATTTTTTTTATTTTTTAGTGGAAAAGGTGATAAGGAAAGGGTGTAGATTTTTCTTAAATAAGCCTTTGCTTGCTTTAAAGTATTTGATAATCCATCTTTATTTTTAGGAAAAAAATTTTTTTGTTCCCTTCAGCCTACCACTAGGCTGAAGAGAACATTCAATTAAGCCTTCCGGCTATTTTTAATTGAATTTCTAATCGTTGTCAGGTTTAGTCTTTTAAATAAACTCATTCTAGGCATATGTACATATTCATACTTCCTCATATCTTTTAAAACGCTCCTATTGTTCCCTCCAGCCTACTACTTGGCTGAAGGGAACATACAAGCTTTAAATTAAATTTTTAATCTTTGCCAATTTACTTCAATAAACAATCAAAATTTATTCGGATATTTTTGATTCAAATTGAGATCGAATGTAAAATTTAAAAAAATTTTTAGTGTATATTAATATTTGCCATATTATTTTTGGGGGCAATTTTTGTTGTAGTAGACAAATGTCCAGTTTTTGCCCCAGCAGTTTTTGCCCCAGCAAAGTGTCCAACACTTAATTGTTGTGCTGGAACGTAGCCAAATAAAGCGAAAGAGTCGTTTCTTATTGTTTTATTCATAAAAAGATAAATTAAAGATGGAAGTCCGTGTGCCGTGACCCACAAGAAGGAAGCTATGTAGATGATAGCTTCGCTTATACGGAAGAACTAAAAATTTTTATTTTTGTCAAATAGAGGTCTAGAGACATGAAATTTTGTGTGGATGTCTTTAATAGTCTTATCTAACCTCTCTAAAAATTTCAGAATTTTTGGACCAGAATTTCAGAAGTTCTGGTCATTAATGTAGAAAAACAGTGAAAATTCTGACTTTTTTGACCATAAATTCTGAAATTCTGGAGAAAAAATTCTGAAATTTTTAGCAGGTTTAGATATGACTATTAAAGACGACTGTGCAAAATCTCAAGGCTCTAGGCCTACATTTAGCTATTTTATTAATTTTTGACTGCACGTTAATCCCTACCACTAGTCCCTTCCTCTCCCTCATTATTTACCTGCATATAAATATAAATAAGTCCAGTAGCAATATTTACAATGGAAATAGCCAAAACTTGAAGGAATGACTTTAAAATTCAAAAGAAATTTCTAAAATATTTTTATAAATTTTTTTAAACCATTTTTTGTGCAAGAGAGGTTCTGTTGTTACCACGAGTTGCGCGAATAAAAAATACAGTGGTGAAAACAATATAGGAGGATGAGAGACCGAAGGTGACTAGCCAGTTGTGAAATGTTTGTATTGGGTTGTTATACTTTAAAAATTAATTTTAAGATTAATTTTATAAAATTCTCTCCAATAGACGCCTATACAGCCTATTTTTCCATGGACTCTTAGGATGTCCTTTCTATTAGAGAGAGGGAATATTCTCTCTGATAGACGCTTAACCAGACAATTTTTAATTGACTTATTAAGACGTCCTTTCTATTAGAGAGGGTATTAATTAAAAATAATAATTATTATTACCACAAGGCCAAAGTCATCAATATATCCAACTTAATAATTTTAAAAAATTTTCAGAAATTTAATTTTTAATTATTTACCATGTGGATTAAAAAACCAAGCAAAATAAATTCCAGAAAATAAAATAGGTTTGGTATAAAAAAGAACGTATAACTAGAAAAATAGTTTTTTGAAGTCAAAAAAAATTTTTTTTCAATTTCAAAAATTTACCCCATAAATCATTGGGGGCAACATCCACAACCAGGCCCTTTTCCCGTTGTAAAGCCTCTCCCCCCAAATTGGACTAATTACTTCTACACAACGATTAACTGCCAAAATAATATCTCCGCTGCTTTCAATAACCCAAAAAACTTGAAAATAAATTTTTTTGAATTTCTAAAATTTTAATTACAAAATCCAAAGCTTCCAGCCAAGTAAATAAATGTTGGATGAGAACAGAAAACAGCACTGAAAATGATAGGAAAAAAATATTCTGGTTTTAATTATTTATGATATGGTTGTTAAGAAAAAAATCAGAATTAAAAATCAGAATTAAAAATCAAATTTAAAAAATTAGAATTAAAAGTCAGAATTAAAAATCAGAATAAAATATCGGAATTAAAGAATCAGAATTAAAAATCAGAATTAAAAATCAGAATAAAATATCGGAATTAAAAAATTAGAATTAAAAGTCTGAATTAAAAATCAGAATAAAATATCGGAATTAAAGAATCAGAATTAAAAATCAGAATTAAAAATCAGAATAAAATATCGGAATTAAAGAATCAGAATTAAAAATCAGAATTAAAAATCAGAATTAAAAAATTAGAATTAAAAGTCAGAATTAAAAATCAGAATAAAATATCGGAATAAAAATCAGAATTAAAAATCAGAATTAAAAATCAGAATTAAAAAATTAGAATTAAAAGTCAGAATTAAAAATCAGAATAAAATATCGGAATAAAAATCAGAATTAAAAATCAGAATTAAAAATCAGAATTAAAGAATTAGAATTAAAAGTCAGAATTAAAAATCAGAATAAAATATCGGAATAAAAATCAGAATTAAAAATCAGAATTAAAAATCAGAATTAAAGAATTAGAAAATATCAGAAAACAGAACACAGATTTTTAAAAAATCAGAATTCTGTTATTTAAAATTAATTAATCCACCCTGTAATAGCAAAATATCCATGAATTAATGCGCAGACTGGTAAACATATGATATCAACAATTCCAATAAAAAGCATAAATTTATAACAAGCCTGATCTAAATGTTTTGTTATTGAGTAGATACAAGGGAGATAAAGAAGCTGAAAAAATCAGAATTATTCAGAATAGAAATCAGAATAAAAAATAGGAAAATCAGAATATCAGAAGAAAATGCCCTCAGGCTATCTAATATTTAAATGATCATAACTCAGTCCAAAATTGTCCGATCGAGCTCAAATTTTTTTTTATTTTAATCAGCTCGACGAGGCACATCGAATAGTCTATAGTTTACTTTTTAATTTATCAACTTAAAATTTAATTTTTGGGAAGAAAACAGTGCAAGCGTGAATCCTTGATAAAAAATAAAATTATTACCTCATATAAAACAAACATAATAACAAAAATGAGTCCCCAAACTGTTCAAATTTAAGTAAAATTTTAGAAAACTAATTTTTTTAAATACCAATATCCTGCCTTTTCTCAATAGGAACATCCTCTACTTTATAAGCACTACAATTGTAGAGCTTCTCATAGCCATTGGGGTCAAATAGAAAAAGGTTCATTTTTGGATATTTGAAGATTTATTTAATTTTTTATCTTTAAAAGAGATAGGAGAGAATGCCTCGATTTAGTGAGATGTCTCGAAATTTAATTTTAGATGCTCTTATTGGAGATTAAATTAATGGGTATTATAATGAGAGTTTGGAACTATTGACGTACCATGGATGGGATCCTTTCCGCATTTGTCTACCGTTTCAGCTTTTATGATGCTGAAGGGTATGAAGGGTTAAAAACCTTTTAAACCCATCCTACAACGTATGATGGGTTTGAAGTTAGAACTGGACTAGAACGGTGCCAAAAATTGATATTTGGACGTCTTTGCTTCAGAGATCATTTAGAAGCTTTTCCTCAGGTTTCCAAAGTTTAAAGAATTTTCCTCAAGTTTCCCAAGTACGACGAAGTAAAAAGCTATCAAGTACAAGGCCAAAAATGAAAGTGGCATGGGTACTAGTATGAGGAAACAACACTAATTCTAAAACTATAATGGAAGAAATATTAATTCTAAATTAATATTAAATAGCCTTTTTTTGATTTTTTGTCGGAAACTGTATATTTATATTTAAATTTATTATTATTTCCTTTTTTATTGTTCTATTTTAATTTTTAATTTTCCCAAATCCATAGAGAATGAAAAATCTCTTTAATTTTGTGTTAATTAATTACCACGCAATTTTTTTAATAAAATGGAGACATTTAATGAATTATTTAATAAATTTGGATTATTTATTTAAAGTCAATTTTTAATTAAAAAATTAAATAAAAATTTCTAAAATAGATTCTTTGGACTAAAATTTTTGCAAAATTAAAAGTCTGTTAAGGATAAATAAATTTAGGTATTTTCCTGTTGAATACATCACCTTTTAATTTAGTGGGGAAGTAAGAAGGGTTGTGGTGTAGTGGGTAGTGTCTCCGGCAACTGAGGATTTTTGAAGGATTTGGTATGGGTTCGAGTCCTCTTGCAAGCAAATATGTTTTTTGACTGCTTTTTTAACCTATACATTTTACTGTAATTTTATTTTTTGTCAAAAAAATTTTTGAAATAATTTTTAAGATTTTTTATAATATTGAAATTTATTAGAAAATTAAAAAATTATTTAAAATTATGGAGACTTGAAAAAATTAAAATAAAATTGCTTCTATTTTATTGAAAATTATTTTTTAATCACCAATTAACAAAATATTAAATAGTATAAAATTAAATTTAAAAATAAATTTTTTAACTAGCAAAAAATTCAATAATTTAAAAAAATACATTAATAATATGTATATTGTTGTCATTTTTAAACTTTACAATTTTGTTTACACAAGCCAATCATTAAATTTTTTCAATAAAAAATTTTAAAACACGAATGAATAAATGGAGAGAAACATTACAAATTCTCCTTTTTAATTAATAAATGTATCTCAATTAAATATTGAATTTAATTTTTAGTAAATTTAACGCTAAAACAGGTTGTTTTTACTGTTCTGATGAATATTCTGATTTTTAATAATTAATTCTGGTGGATATTCTGACTTTTTAAGCATCAACTCTTAGTTCTGATTTTTCAAAAATAATTCTGACATAAATTCTGATTTTTTTAAAAGGATTCTGAAAATAATTCTGACAAAAATTCTGATTTTTTTAAATTATTCTGATGCAAATTCTGATTTTTATAAATTAATTCTGATTAGTTCTGATTTTTTAAATTAATTCTGACATAAATTCTGATTTTTCAGAACATTTCTGATAGAAATTCTGATATTTTAAAAATAATTATGGTAAAAATTCTGATTTTTTAAAAATAATTCTGACAATAAATTCTGATATTTTAATAGTTAATTCTGATTAATATTATTTTGTAACTGACCCTTTCTAACTGACCCTTTTGTCTTTTGGTATTATAAACAAACATTCCGGAAAATATCAAAATATCTAAAATTCGAAAAATCCCTAATTAAATTAATTAGCAGGAAAATGCGGAAATGTGCATTTCTTGTTAGAAAAGTTAATTTAATTAGTTCGCTACCTTTTATTTAATTCGATCGTTGTTTGGGGTGAATTAAATTAATAAAATTTGATCTAATTTTTCTTTTAATTATTTCCAGCTTTTTTCAAGTTAATTAAAAATAAATATTAGAAAATATGGCTTTAATTTTGGCTAAAGCCAAATTTTTTTCTTCTCTTCATAATTATATTCCAATTTTATTCTTCTTCACTTCTTTATTTATTTACCAAACATTACAACAAGATGCAGGTCAAGCCTCTATGCCTAGCGCCGTTCCAACTCAGCACAAAGTTGGCGTTACCGAATTAAATATGCAAAATTTGGAATTGGTTTTGAGGAGTGCTCAGGTTTGTTAAGGCTTGATTTATTCTTTTACATAAAGGGGAGTGATAAATTGATAAGGTTGGGGGAAGATAAGAATCACGGGTGGGCAGAAACTTTCCTTGTTAGCACGTTGAGTAATGCTCTTTTTCATGTAATTAATTTTAATGAGATAGCTAGTGGTCGTCTCGTTGGTGTATTGGTATCGTTGCCGACTACACCCACTGGGTGATGAAGGTTCGAGTCCTCTCTTGAGTTTATTTATTTTCTTTGCATTTTTTTTCAATTTGTTTTACTTTTTAATTATTTTACCAATCTTTCCCTGTTAATTTATTATTTTCTTTATTATTTTTTAGATTGTATTTGTTGCGTTTTGTGCAGATTGGTGTCCTTTTAGTAGACGATTGAAACCGATATTTGAGGAAGCCGCGGTTAAATGGCACGATGACAATCCAAATAGGTTATAAAAATATAATGATAAATTCTAAAAAGTTTTTGGGATAATTTCAAAAAATTTTATTTAAATGAATACTTTACTGGGTAAAAAAATAAAAGGTTAAACAGAAAATAAAATTTTTTGGAAGCATTTCACAGTCGAAAATATAAGCGAAGAACGCTCAAGAATTTTTTAAAAATTGTGGATGAAACGGTAAATTTGTTTAAAAAATTGGAAAAAATAATTTGGTAATTTCTGGTTTTCAAAAATTTATTTTAATTTTTTTTTAATTTTTAGTAGTGTTGTATGGGCTTTAGTTGACAGTGTTGCACAGGCTGATGTTGCTGATAAATATTTTGTTAACAAATATCCGACAATGAAGGTAATTTAAATTAATTTTAGCAATTTTAATGTTTTATTTTTTAAGGTTTTCATTAATGGCGAACTTATCAAAAATGAATATAGGTTTGGAATTTTTTTTTATTTTTAATTGTATTGGGATTAGGGAACAAATACCAATTTTATTTGGGGCTCTAACCTGACATGAACTAGAAAACCTGAAACTGCTTATCGTAGGCTTCGGCCAAAATAGATACCTTACACGGAGAGGTTGCGAGGTGTCCGACCTGAAAACGGTCGAGACTGGGCTCATTCGATAGAGAATGTGCCCGGTCTCGACCGTTTTTAGGTTTATTTTTTTTAATTTTTATTTGGGTGTGACCTGGGTCAGATACCTTTAGCCTGTATTTTAGATAAACTCGGAAAACCTGTTCTATTAATGCAGATATAATGTTATCTATAAGATTTTAGGAGTACCAGATCCGTTGAGGCTTTAACCGAATTTGTTCAAAAACAACTTCAAGTCAGCATAAACGAATTCCCCACATTGGAATACCTCAATGGTGCAATTAAATCAGAAAAGAGAAATATTATTGCTTACTTCCATTGTAGAGATTGTGTTGAATATCAAAATTTTCAGGTTTTTTTCAAATTAAAAAATTTTCAAAAAAATTTTTTAAAGAAAATTGCTGCTCTTTTACGCGATGATTGTGCCTTTTGGGTTGGTAGAGACGCTGCTTTGACGGCCATAAAGGAAAATATGATGTCTTTTCGTGATCCTACAACACAAGACGAGCAAAAGGTTTTTTGATTTTTAAGGGATTTTTTGAAAATTTTCCAATTTTTTAGTTCATTGGAAATTTTGCCGACTATGAGTTTGTCAAACACTGGTTGACTGACAAATGTATACCTCTTGTTAGAGAAGTTACTTTTGAAAATGTTGAAGAATTAACTGAAGAAGGATTGCCTTTTCTTATACTCTTTCGTGATCCAAATGATCGAGAACAGGACAAGATGTTTACTGAAACGGTTTGAGATTTTATTTAAGTACAAGTCAGGGATGTCGGTACTCTGCGTTTATATACCCCCACGTCCGCAAATGTTTGTCCGCACTTTTTTCCTTTTCCTTCTCCTTCTTTCTCCTCTCACAAGGATGATAAATGGTTGCTTGCATCTCGTATTTATCACTCCAAACTGAGCTTACTCCACCTATGGTTTTTGACATTTTCGAGCTCTATATCTCGGTTCCTAGGTACCGGACCAACTTATACCTGCACTAATTCGACTAAGCTTTCCAAGCTCTTTCGAATGACGCCATACTTATTCTGTTTCGACACGGTGAAAAATGGGCATATAAGTGAAGAGTGCCAAATTCTTGACCTCTATTTTTACTTGACCATTTTAATCAAAATGAAAGGAGTAAAGAAGGAGAAGACAAAGAAAATGGTGGTTTATTGATGCTTGACCATTTATCATCCTTGTGAGAGGAGAAAGAAGGAGAAGGAAAAGGAAAAAAGTGCGGACAAACATTTGCGGACGTGGGGGTATATAAACGCAGAGTACCGGGATGTCTTTCGGATCGGGTTTTAGGTCAAAAAAAAGTCCAGATTTCCGATAGCCCAGTGCATCCCTGATACAAGTGTGTGCTCAAGTAGAGGGGCACTTCCGAAATGGAAAAAAATCAAAGGAAATGTTTTAAGGATGAATCAGCAAGAAACTAAAAATTTTGGATTAAGATGCTATAAAATTGCCTAGATTTTCGTCTATTTTTTAACCTCTCTAAAATAGTCTGCAACATTACCCAAAAATTCTTCAAAGCCTTTTTCAATTTTCTGTAATATTTTTAATTTTAGGTTGCTCGTGAATTGCATGACCAAAAAACTGCAGTTAATGCTTTACTTGCTGATGGTTTTTATTTTTTAATTTTTCCTTTGAAAAATATTCTTTTTATTTTAGGTTTTAAATTTGCTCATCCTCTCAAACATATGGGTAAAACCTCTAAAGATTTGCCAGTTCTTGCTATTGACTCTTTCCAACAGTTTGTGAAATTTTATAATTTTTTTTAAATTCTTTTTCAATTTTTAAGTATGTTTTTGTTTGAGAATATGCATGAATTACATGAGCCTGGCAAATTAAGACAGGTTTTTTTGAATTTTTACTACTAGTTGAACCTCACTATAAGTTGCGTAGTTTCAGCCCTTTGTTAGTGTTCGGCACCGGATCGATACTTTCCGGTACCACCAAAAGTACCGGACAGGTCTGTCCTTTCGGTCGGAGATGGGTCAAAAGTCGGAAACCGTGGTAAATTTTGAAAGTCGGAATTCCAACCGATCTCTGCTTTCTACTCTACCGGGACAAGATTTGGTGTTTTCGGTACCAAAAAAGGCATTTGCCGCTCACAGTCTCTTATAAGGAGTTTCGAAAGTTTATTTTTTTCTTTTTCTAGTTTATTATGGATTTACATTCTGGCGAACTTCACAAAAAATTCCATGAGACTTTAGATGAAAAAATTGCCGAAATTCAAAAGAAAGCACTTGAACAGCTTAACGATGATTTTGGAAGTCCTCCAAGTGAAGGAGATGGCGGTGGTGGTGCTAAACCCCCCTCAATAATGCCAAAAGACACAACACCAGTACCTTCAATATTTAAAGAATTGAAACCTTCAGAGAAGCGTTATTCTCTTTTACAAAAAACTGAGCTGTGATTGAATGAGAATGGAAACTATAGTTTTATTTTAATAATTATTATTATTATTTTGGGGGGCCTTTTAAAAAGTAATACTTATTTATTTAAAAAAAGAGTGTCTTGGGTATTTTTTTAAAATTAATTGTGGACTAAAAATGGATTGATGATTTTAAGATAATATGTAGGGGTTTATTTTTGATATGAAATATTCTGATTTTCCTTTCAATCAGAATTCTAATTTTTCCTTAAAATTCTGATCTGTGTCTGGAAATCTAATTTCCTAACACTCAGGAGGGGTTGTTTATGCTGTTTCACATATCTTTGATATGATGCGTCTCTTAACTCATAATACAGCATCATGGGTTTTAAAAAACGGAACGGGGTACTTATCTTCATAGAGCTGAGTATTTATCCCCCTTAATCCCCCTCGATATCACCTTTTCAAAAGTTGTTGGTCTTCAGAGTCTTTTCATGGTTAAATCCATTTTATGTCCATAATTAAAAATTATTTGCCTTATTTAATTAAAAAAAGATATATATTTCCCAATATAAGCACCGATTTACATAATAATTTAAACCAAAAGTATTAGAGATTCTGTGATTATGAGCGTAGTATTTAAAAATTATTATTTTTTTTTGGCTATTTTCTCTGTTTTTTAGAACTCAAAAAAGTCATTTTCTTTATATATGTTTGGCTAGCAATTCTAAAAATTATATACCTATTTATTTTTTCCTTTTTTGTTTTTTCGTTGTTATTTTTCTTCTCTTTTAGTTCTTCTCTATCCTCCCCAAAAAGACCATTCTAAAATTAAGGTTGTGCCGGTTTATTTCTTCCTTTCCTTTTGTTGTTTTTGGGATCTTAAAAGCATATTCTTCTAAATTATTTTAAGAATACTTACAAGGTTTTTACTGATATTTGCAAACAAAAATAAAATTTGCGGATGTCCGCAAATTTTTTGCGGACATCCGCAAATTTTTTGCGGACATCCGCAAATTTTTTGCGGACATCCGCAAATGTCAGATTTTCTTTTTCAGAAAAAATTCCATAGGGAAAGGTTTAATTAACCTAAAAATGAGTCTTTTAACATACTATCTAACCTTCAAAAAAATTGTTCACTTAATATGACTTTCCCACCACCACCAAACTTTCTTTTATTAAATCGTATAGATAAAAAATTTGTGTTAAAAAAATTTTTTTTTATTAAAAGAATTATTGTTTTCTTTCAATTTATTTTTTAAAAATATTTTTTTAATTTTATTTTTAAATTTTATTTATTAGCGTTCAGAAAACCTCGTTTTTAATGATTCCATTAAAAAAATATTTTAAGAAAAGAAGGAAAGCTTAAAATGAGACAACGCCAAAAAACACCAAAAACAACAGCCAAAACATCAAAAAATTCTCCAATAAAAAATAATTTATCACCAACAAATGTTGCTGCTTCGGAAGAGAATACTTCAACAATCAAACAAATTACAAACTTTACAGAACAGATATCTGAAAAGGTTAGGAATTTTTTATTTTTTTTTGGGGATTTGTGTAGGGGTGAGGGGGGGGGGGGGTTAGAAGTCTGAGATTGATTGAGAATCCAGACTGATTGATTTAAATGAAGAAAAAAACTTCGTTTCTCTAAAGGACACCAATATTTTTGCGGATAAACATTTGCGAACAAAGCTAAGGACTAAAGACTTGGGGGGAAATTGTGCACGTGGTGGGGTTTAGGAAGTCTGGGATTGATTAAACGAAGGGAAAAAATCCTCTAAAATTGAAAAAAATACCTAAAGAGGCCACACAATATTTTTGCGGATAAACATGTGCGGACAAAACTACGGACTAAACAAGACTTTTGGAAATCACAATTAATGAGACTCAAGTGGTCAAAAATCGATTCGATTTAGAAAAAATCGATACTATCGAATTTTTTTATTTTGCCGCCAAAGTCAATTTTTGCCGCTCTTATTTGCCATTTTTTGCTTAAAAACAAAAAAAAAATTTTTTTTGTTTTTTTAAAGATGTTAAGACTTCAACCAAAACATCAAAAAGTAAATGAATCATTAAGAGCCATACGTTCTCAAGGAGTGCGCTTACTTGGACCTGGATCAAAAATTAGTCAAAATTCGAAGGCAAAATTGATTGCGTTATATCAGACAGCCCAAAAACAATGTGTGAGTGAACACTCGACAATTATGCAATTATTGGATAATATACAAGTATGATTTTTATATTTTAAGGTCGGGCCCCATTGTAAGAGACACTCAATACTGGACGCACCTCAGTTTAAGATAACCTCAAGGAGTTTGGTTGGTTATTGGTTGGGGGAGGCCATTGGGCGTCTGCAAAATTTTTGCGGATATCTGCAAACTTTTGCGGACGTCCGCAAACTTTTTGCAGATGTCCGCAAATGTTAAAATTTTTGATTTTGTGATCGGAAGGCTGTCTAGGCAATACCTTCGGTTTAAGATGCACCTCGATTTAAGAAACGCCTTATTATGAGGTACGATTTTTTCAATCCCAATACGGGGGTTTATCTAAAACATCTTAAAGCTCTCTAAATTTTTATTTTTCTCTTTCAGGCTGTTCGCCAGCTACGTTTAAAGCAAAGAATGGCAGATAAATTATCTCGGGGCTCGCTTATGATTTTGCTAGCGCAGCATGCTGCTACTTTGCCTTTGTATGTTGGATATATTGAAGGACATCCACCTCCTCTCGTTGGGGCAATTCCTAGATTGAATGGAGAACCTATTAGTGTCGGTCATTTTGTTGCTGCTTTTAGTGAAGATATTTGGATTCTTGGGGAAGTGAAGGTATTTTTAGTTAGAGGGGCATTCGAGTCTTTAAATTTAATTGAATAATAGTAAGTAGAGATCGGAATTTTGAAAAAACTGGGTCCAGGAAACGGGTTCTGAAGGCTGACTGGGAGGGACCCGGATCGGGGAAACGGGTCCGGGTCCCGTCTCTGATAGAAAGGGTCATTTGAGTCTCAACATTTAGGAATAGGCCGGTAGAGTCCACAAGTACTCTACCGAAACTCAGGTGTCCTGAAACTTGGAATCCATCAAAAATTAATTTAATTCCGAATTTAGGCCCATATACCAACTGATTATGGTCTAGAATATTCAATTCGAGATATTGATGATGAAGTTGAAGAGGAAGGAGGAGGTATGGTAGCTGGGACAAGTAGCAGCACCAACAACACTACTCTAACTACAAACAACGAGAAACTTTTAACTGTTGATTCAAATAAAGTAATTGCTTTACCACATTATCGAGCCGATCCTCGACGTCATGCACATGCTTTATTTCCAAAAGGGGCAATAGTTTTGGCTTTATATCCTCAAACAACTTGCTTCTATAAAGGAATTGTGGAAACACCGCCAAGTGGACCCAATGATGATTATTTGTGGGTTTTTTAAATTTTTTTTTGAAGAAGGAATTTTGTGTAAGAAGGGTGGGGAATGAATCGAAGTCTAATTTTATCCATCCAACTTCCTAACTTTTGGTTAGGGACGTTTTGACCCCTTTTGAACTCTGACCATTCTGAACCCCCTCTTTGAAATTTGCCGCTTGACCTTTCAAACTGTGACCATTTCAAATTCTGACCATTTTGTACTCTGAAACTCTCAGAAATTTTGTAAGGGAGGGAGGGGCATGAATCGAAGGTTCATTTTTATCCATCCAACTTCCTAACTTGGTTAGGACGTTTTGACCCCTTTTGAACTCTGACCTGACCATTCTGAATCCCCTCTTTGAACTCTGACCGCTTGACCTTTCAAACGGTGGCCATTTCAAATTTTCTGACCATTTTGTACTCTGAACCTTCAGACTTAGGGCTCGAAATGCTCAGTACCTCGAACTCTGTTTTCGAATTCTGACCATTTTAAACTCGGATTATTTTTCAAATTGCCCATTTCCCTATATTTTAGAATCGCATTTGAAGACTCAACCTTCTCTACGGGTTATTCCCCAACACTTCCTGTACCACAATTTTATGTTTTAACATTTCGAGATGTTTCATCTTCGACAATTTGTGCATATTTTAATAAAAATAAGAGAAAAACATTGTCCCCAGAAACAAAAGAAACATCGTCAACTTCTTCAACTTGACTTGATAAAAACAAAAAATATTGTTTGTATAACTGAATTTATCTCAATTTTATTTTTAAAAATTATTAAAAAAGGAAAAAAAATTTTGTCTTGATTTTTTAGATTTTTTTCCGTTTTCTCTTATTTCCGTCCAAGCCCAATTAAAGCTAAATGTAAACGTTTATTCAAAACATTTGTTTCTTCCTGTTGTTCCCTTGCCCCTCTTAATTGTCTTTTATTTGATGATCGCTTCCCTAATCCAATGTGTCGCCAAGCGGGGTCGAAACGGCGGACTATTTGAGGTTCGAATAATTGGTTGAGTAATCTTGAAGTTAGGGGGTTGTTGTTAAAAAAGTTGGTTGAGGAAGCTGAAAAGTTTAAACTTGTTTTAGAATTAAATGTTTTGGAATGTTTTTGGTAATAAGTTTATTTATAAATGTTCAGGATGTTTTCAAGTTTGTTTTAGTTTAAGTTAAATTATGATGTTTGAATTAAAGTTTTATGTTTTTTAAAGTTTTTGGATGCTCTCGTTTGTTTTAATGAAAGTTTTAATGTTTTGTTTCAAGTTTATGAGAAATAGGTTTATTTTAACGTGTTTGTTTTCAAGTTTGATGTTCAGATTAATGTTTTGCTTCAAGTTTATTTTCATGTTTAAGTTTTCAAGTTTATTTAAGTGTTGTTTCTAGTGTTTTAATTCAAGTTTATTTTGTTTCAAGTTTTAGCGTTTAAATTCAAGTTGGTTACAAGTTCAGTCATTTTCATGTTTACTCTTAAAATTTCAAGTTTAATCTTAAAACTTACGATATCCTTCAACAATGCTTGAAATTTTCAAACTAATAACTAGAAAAATTGTAAATATAATTCTGTTATTCATATTCTCGGTTGCTAATTGCATTAAATAAATATTTATATTTCGTAGAATGATTTAGAGAGGAATGTTAAAGCTTGCCAGTTTTTTTCTCTTTAATATCTCTTCATTTCTCCAAATTGCTAGTTTTATACATCAAATATCCGGTGAAGGGCACATTTAACGTAAAAATAATAAGAAGGTGGCCGTTTTAAGATTTTCATGGCAAATAAGCGTGGGCATAATTTTAAAGAAAAATTTTTAATTGATAGGTTAGAGATTTGTTAAATTAGAGGGAAAAGATGGGAGAGAAAAATGTGAGGAGGGGAGGGGGGGATATTTTAAGTAAAAAGGTATCATTTACGTAGCAACAATTTTGATATTTCTGAACAAAAAAAATTGAAATTTTAAAATTAGAAAATCTTAAATTGGAGGGTTTATTTAAAAATGATTTTCTATGGTAAAAAAGGAATGATGTAAATTCTATTTTTGCCAAGAAAAAAGCTATCGAAAGATGGCTTTTTTAAAAAATGACCAAAAATCTTTTTTTAAAAAACGGTAACTAATATTTATTTTTTTCAATATTTTTTTTTAAAAATATACAAAAAAAAACAATGTAAAAATAACCTAAAATTTTTTATCCTGTTGGATCTCTTTGAAATTTGAAAACGCCTTTTGGAATTTGCTTCAACCGGAACACAACACTAATATTGTATAACCTCCTGTTTTCTTCATGTAAATGGTTGAGCCTGTAAAAAATGAGTGGGAATCAAAAATAAAATTTTCTAAAAAATCCAAACCAAACAGAAGCATATTCATTGCTATGAATCCCCAAAACAGCCAATGCCAAAATTGTTTGATCCGATTGCTGATGAACATTAATTTGAGGACCTTCATCCCATAAACGTTTATGCAACTCTTCTGGCGTTTCTACATTGTGTGAAGTACGTAAATCTACCCATTCCTCATCCTCTCTAATAGTTGGTGGGGCACTCAGTACAAGATAATTTAACTGTTTTTAAATTGGGGGATTAAAAAAATATTTTTTAGAGATCGGCCAAGATCTGAATCCAGAACTTGATTTTTCTTGGACCCAAAGGCAAGAGCAAGGCGTTTTTCAGTGTTCCTTGGTTTTTCCTAGAACTTGATTTTGCATTGACTCGAGGTCAAGAATCTGGTCAAGGTCCTCAACCAAAATCAAAAATTTTAAATTTTCCGATCCCTAGTATTTTAATTAAAGAAAAAATACCATTCGCTCTCTAACCCAAACGCGAAAAGGTCCATCAACATAACATGTACAATTGTCTGGTAAATCCCAAATTAATTTTTTTTGTAAAGGACTTTGAGCACTCACAACCCAATTAAAACGGTCTTGAACTTCGAGGAAAGGAGCCTTAAAATTAGAAAATTTTTAGGTTAAAAAATTTTAAAAATACCTTGAAGCTTGTTATCTGAGTCCCAGCATCTCTACACATTGTTTTTAGGGCAACTCGAGCTAATTCAACATCCATCAATTTCTTTCCTTCGACTAATCGTCTGTCCAAATAACTGAAAAAATGTGGGAAAGTATTTTTTTAATTTTTAAAAAATTTTTGGGTGGGTGGAATGAAGATTTTTTTATTTTCCAAAGTATTCAAGCCAGTTGAAAAAATTTTTTAAAAAATTCCAGGTCAGTCGAAAAGTCTTTTAATTGTCAATTTATCATTTTCACAATTTCCCCAACCCTAATTTATTTTTTTAAGAAAGAAATTAGTTCACATACTGGTTTGTGTATTTCAATTTTGGTAGCCAATACAACTGCCTTTTAACCTTTTTTGTAGCATAACCCCAAGTACCAAAACGTTTTTCCATTATATCGTGTATTTCTTTGTCAGGAAGGACTCCTAATTTTAAAAATTAATTAAAATAATTTTTTAAATTAATTTACCATTAGCTTCCATTGCGTCCATTAATTTTATAGCACACTCTTGATGCAAGGGATAATGCCAAAATGCTCTCTAAAATGAATTAAATTTAATCGAAAATTCGACGGTTTGTGTTATATTGAGTGGTAGCCGAATGGTTAATGTGTCAGGCTATGTACTGAAGGTGTTGAGGGTTCGAGTCCGTTTGTTTCCCAAGGGGCGTGTTTTTAGGTTTTTGGTGATTTTTGATGAAAAAAAATTTTTTGGGGTGTTTAAGTGTTAAATAATTTTTTCTTAGGATTTTTATAAAATTCTAAAAAAATTTTCTAAATTTAAAGAAAACCTGAAGCGGATTCTCCGGTACAAAATCTCCCTCAGGAAAGACTTTTAATAATTCCTTATAAACATCCAAATCTTTGTGGACTCCAAATGCTTTCATATTATTCCTTCCAGCATTAATGAATTCTACTTGTCCGCCTCCTCTTTTTCCTCTTGACATGACAAAAAGTTCTGTGAAAATTTTTTTTTAATTTTGAGAAAAAAATTCAAAGAAGACATACTAACGCATTGAAGAAAAGCTTCCTTTGTTTTGTCAGCAACTTCACTTTCTCTTTGAAAAAATTCATCCCAAATAATTGGTTGAGTTGTTTTATAATTTGGTTTGCTGCTACATTGGTAAGCTTGAAAAACCCGCAAATAAATTAATTTTTCTTTTTTTAGGAGAAGGTATTGTATAGAATTTCTGATAAATAATGATTTTAACATTTATCTAAAAATATTTGTTGATTTTACAAGAAAAAATTTTAAATTGATTCCGGAAATGAAAATCTCTGGTGTTTTTGAAAAATAAGAGAAAATAGCGTGGAAAATGAGGAGAGTGACTTTTTGACGAGCCATTTTGTCGCGAATTATTTTGTCGCGGACGGATAAAGGTCCCTGTTTCTCCTTTTAAAAATTTTTCTATTATGCCTAGCTTGTAGCAAAATTTCTGCGCTATTGAATGTTATCATTCAATCTTTAAACTGGTCCTCGTTTATTAAGAATGGGCACTCAACAGATTTTACAATTCCGCGTCAAAGTGGCTGTCACTAAAAAAATTTTTTTGTTAAAAATTAAAAATGGTAAAAATGTCATTTTGTAAAATTACAAAACAACTAAAATCCACTTTACATTTTGTTACACTTCCTTGAAATTCCTTAAGTTCCACAACTTTTTTTGCAATTTTACTTCAAGCATTTTTCAACGTCTTTGCTGTCTTTTAAATGATACTCCTTTTTTTGCAAAAATTCTCTATTAAATCAATCATAGAGACAAATGTTCATCATTTTTTATGAGTCATCATTCCCCTCAAATTGCCACACATTTTTTTGTTTTTATATTCATTACACATTTTGCATTTTATCTTTTAGAGATGGTCACGTTGAAGAAAAATTTTTTTCTTTAAATACATGTTGTAAAATTTTTGACATTTTTTGGGCAGGAAATAATTTATATATTTAATGTTAATTAACAAACTATATAGGGCTTAGCAGAGATCGCGCTGAAATTTTTTGTGTTTTAATGTTTTTGTGTGGGTGACTAACCCAAAGATCGAGATGGGTCTGGACCATGGCCTGGGTTTTTTCTGTACTCAGAGTCTAGGCCTAGGCATTTTTTGACCTTCCTGGTTTTTCCTGGGCCTGGGTTTTTCCTAGACTACAGGCCTATTTAGGTCAATAAATCAAACCCTGTAACAGTCCCAGGCTTTATAAAAATCTCGATCTCTAGTGACTAACCCAGAGATGGTTATTTTTAAAAAGTCGGGTCAGAGACCACCAACCCGGAGTCCGGGTTGGTGGTCTCTGACCCGACGTGACTCAGATCAGTTCGTTCGATGACTGAACGTTTTCCTCACTAATTTACCCATTTTCTGTTAATATTCTAAATTGTTTTTTATTTTTTTCAGAGCAAAAAAATGTATGTTGCAGCCACAAAACAATATCAACAACAACCGCCTCAACCCTTTATTAACGGGGAAAGGAAAAGGAGCAAAAAAGAGCGTCCAAAACCTTTTGGCTCTTCTCTAGTCACAAATACAGAAAATTTACAACTTTTCCAAGTTTTGGGAAGAGATCGTATTTCTACTATGGCTGGGGTTGCTCAATTGTTAGATGTCCATCCAAACAGCCCAAATGTTTGGAGAAAAGTTAATGTTGGTTTGGCAGTCTTGACAAAGGATTATGCTAAAAAACATTACTCAATGTGCCTATATGACATTATGAATCAAAAAATTGTTTGGGATCAAGTTTTGTAAGCGGTTTTTTGTTTTTATTTTTGTGGGTTTTGGGAGGGGAATGTGGTTCTTTTTTAAGGAGAAGTGGGATTTTAATTATTTTTCAAAAGCTGGGATTTTTAGTTGAAAATTGGGAATTTTGAACTTTAAGGCTCCAATTTTTCGTTTCTTCCTATTTTTTCTTTTAATGACTAACTCAAGCAGGGTTTAATAACTTTTTCTATGGAAAAGCTATCATTCCATATGTATGACAAATTTGTTTGCCATGTGAATGAAAATTGTGCTCCTATACAGGCCCGTAGCCTGTGGGTGGGAGCCTGCTCCTATTTTTCAGAATTGGTCAAAAAAGTTTCATTATACATCGTTTATACGAAATATTTTTTAATTTTAGATTTTCTTAAAATATATTTTTTAGATACAAAAACTTTGAAGCACAATTTTATGAGAAATGTCTACGTTTTATTACATTTGAAGGCGATACTTGTCCATATGCATTAAACTTTTCTGATTCTGAAGAGGCGGAAAAGTTCAAACATATGTTAACATTAACTATAAGACGAACTAACAATCCTAGGAATGATTCAGGTTTTCTTTTTTGTTAAACGATTTTTGGGTATTTTTTTTGGTATTTTGTCTGTTTTTAGTCTTATTTTTTGAAAAATGGGATTGAAGAGTTGATAGTTTCTAACATGCAGTCAGTGGGGTGGAGTAGTCCAGTATTTTTTGAAAAAAAAGCCTTTTGTCTATTTTTCTAGTTAACATCGAATTTCTTTTAAAAAATTTTCCAAAACTAGGGTTGATAAGATCATAAAATTTAATTCCCAGCAAATAACTAGCCGTAATTTTGATTTTCGAGTTCATTTATGATTTTTGAAAAAAATTTCGTAGGAGGATTTTCATTTAATTTTGACCTGTTTTTTTTATTTTTGAATGACTTGAACTCTTCGTTCGGCTTTTGGGTTCCTCAAAAAAATTTCTAAAAAAATTTTACATAAGGCAATCCGCAAAAAATGTCCGCAGAAAGGGGTTAGGGATAACGGAAAAGTACCATTTTTTGATTAAACTTTTTAATTTTTTAAAGTCAAACCTCTAGTTCAACACCCTCAAAATTATGTGCCGTGTTTCGCTAATCAATTATCCCCTACAGCTCCAAATAATTTTAAAAAATCACCAAACCAAAATGGCTCAAACTTTCAAATGCCAACAGGAATAACGAATATGGGGACTGGTAATTGAAGAGATTTTTTTTGAAATTTTTGGAAAAATATTTTTTCTTCAAGTTCCACATGTTGGCTCATCTTTGCAACAATTTTTTTCTCCAAAAAAGAAGAAACAATCTAAAAAGGATAAAAATGCTGGTGGACGTCCACCGCTTACAAAAGAAGATATTGGAGCTCCAACTGGCTTTGAGTAATTTTTTTTTATTTTTGATTAAGAATGAATTTATGGAATAAGTTTGAAATTGTAGGACTTCCACTTTTAACAAGATTATGTGCCGTGTTTGTGTTGAAAAAAATTTTTCTCCGAAACTTTTTCGGTGTCAAACTTTTTTCCAAAGTTATTCGTGGTTGTGTCGTTCATTTCCTTCCTTTTGCCTTTCATTTTTTACTGGTTACTTTTGGATTCTATAACGTTTATGTCTAGCCACGAGGGACTAATCTCTTAAGATTTTATATGGTTGCCCGAAAAAAGGCGTCGAATGATAACGAAATTGATTTAGTCCCTAAAATTAGCTGTTCTGCAGCAAATTGTGAGTTTTCTCTATTTGAAGACTGTCCTTTAGATTATTATAATATTCCAATAAGGAGCCTTTTTGGTTACCAAAATGTGTCGATCAAAAACTCAAAGAATATTAAGGAATCCAGAAATTAACATTTAAAAATCTAAAAAAAAATTTTAGGCATAGAGTGCATATTGGTTGGGATGCTTTGAGTGGTTTTAATAATGAAAGTCAAGGTGCCCCAATGGATGAAACAGTTCGTCGATTACTTTGTGAAATTGGACACAATCCTGGGGAAATGAAAAAGAGCGAATTAAAATTTGCTCAAAAATTTATTAATAATTATAATGTTGAACAACTACAAGCAGCAAAGCCTTTACAAAATGATTTTAATAATTTTAATTTGAATAATAATATTGTTGTTGGACAAGTTGTTAATCAACATCAACAGGTTTGGTTGTTTTTTTGTGGTTTTTTCATTTTTTTTGGTTTTACATTGATTTAGATAAGAATCTGGTTTTGGGGTTTTTTCAATCAGAGAAGGCCCATTTTTATGTTTTGGTCTAAAAATAGCTCCCCCCTCCTTCCAGAGCCCAAAATATCGCTGCTTTTGTTGTGCTTTTACTTTCTTTTTCTATAGTCCAGTAGGGCTGACGGAAAACTCTTCAAAGTGTCGGAATGTTTTTGTTTCTGTTCTTTTGGCTCTGAATATCCAAAAGACTACCGATAACTCAAATTTGTCCTTTTATTCAAATTTTGTTCATTATTTTGTTTAAAATTAATAATTTTTCAGACTAGCTCAAATCCACCGCCTCCAATTTTCACAAATTCAAATTATCCTCCACCACCACAACGTATTCAAGGGGCTTCTTTGAGCAGCAATATTATTGTTAAGCAACAACAAAATGCTTCAACAACAGTTATTTCACCTCCTCGTCCTCAAAATTTGCCTACAAATAAAAATATAATTCAGCCACCAAAGTTAAAACCACCACCTCCACCTGTTCCGCCTGTGGTTAAAGAGGTTTATTTTAATATTTTTGGGAGATGAAAATTTTATTTTTCAAGTCATCTCCACCGCTTCAAAATGTTGTGGATAAGAATTCATCAGCGCTGGGACATCCTCCTCCGCCACCTCCTCCTCCTCCTCCTCCACCGCCTTGTCCACCTCCACCGCCATCTTTACTTTCTAAACAATTTTTGAGAGAGAATAATAATACGGAAAATATACCCAAAAATCAACAACAACTTCAAGCAGCTCTTCATCCACCTCCACCACCCCCTCCTCCACCACCAATTGATAATAAAGCAAATCTTCTTCAACAAATTCAACAAGGAGCAAATTTGCGTAAAGTTGGATTTCCTCCAGACGATAAAAAACCTGTGCCTACAAATCCTCCAAATTTGAGGGATAGTATGATGGAACAAATTAAGCAAGGAACAAGTTTGAAACATGTTTGTATTTTTTTTAAATATTTTTTCTAATTTGATTAAGTCTTAATAAGTAAGTGGGATTGGAGGGGAAGTATAATAATTTTTTGGAATTTTGTAGAATTGGCAGAAAAGGATGATTTATTTTTGTGTCCGTACTTGTAAAAAAAAATGAATGAATGTAACCCATTTTCGGTTTTTATCTTTCCTCCAAAATATAAAAACCCTTTACCTACAAAGTTCTGTCTGCCTACATGTGACACTAGTGATTGTGCATGGGTGGTAGCCTTATTCCATAAAGGTCTATATTCCATCTCTCATCCAATCCCGTTTCCTTAATAGGCGAAACTTTGCGTTTTGTTGATCCGGGGAACCACAATTAATAAGGAAAGTATGAAAATTTATGTATATTTTTTAGACCTGTCCTATTCTTCGATTAATGTCTCAAAAATATTTTTTTGTTTGATAGGTCGATCAAGCAACAGTTGAACAAAATCGTCGTTCTGGTGGTGGATTACAAGATTTTACTGGAATGGCAGGAGCATTGGCGAGAGCTTTAGAGGAAAGGAGGAAAAATATACGGCCTGACGGTTTATTTTTATGATTTTCTAAGAAATTTTTTGAAAATTTTTTTTACAGATTCTTCTGATTCTTCAAGCGATAGTAGTACAGACAGTGAATGGGGAGAGGATTCATAAGAGTAGGAAATAAATTCTTTGTGTTATTTAAAAAAAGAGAGGTTTGAATTTGAAAAAAAATTTTATTTAATATATCCACAAAAACTAATACTTGATAGAGTTTAACTGACTTGAAAAAATAAAAATGTGTTAATAATATTTTTATTCACATATAAATATTTTGAACAGCTAAAGGTGAAAATATTTTTAATTCTGATTAATCTTGTCTTGGTGTGGTAGGGGTTAAATTGTATTTTTTCTGGGTAGGATCTTTTATAAAACAAAACTTTGAAGTGCCCGATATAGCAACTGTAAGTCTTTGAACAATATAAACATATAAACCTGAAAAACCAACCTGTAAAAATAAAATTTATAATTTTTTATGAATCCCAAAATAACACCGTTTGGTATTTTGAAGGCTTTTGTTGGTTCGGTCATTTTCTTGGGGTTTTTTACTTTTGATTTTTTTTTGTAATTTTAGTTACAAAAATATTTAAAATTTCCACCTTTTGCCTGTTTGTCATAAACTATTTTTTTTATTAAATTTAAAAAAAAATATGTGTTTAACCCAAATTAAAGTCTGTTTGTTTTTTAAATATATATTGACTTAATTTTGATTTTCAGAGAAAAAAGGAATTTGTATATTTAATTTTTTCTGTGTTTTTTAGTCAATATATATTTAAATTTAATTTTGGCCTTGCCCTTATAATATGTTTAGTTAGTTGTTTAAATATACACGTTGCAGACATGCCGCTTTCATTGGAAATTTATCCAAATTAAAATTTGGATAAATGAACACATCCAAATGGTTAAATAAAAAATTTTTTTTTAATTTTTTGAGAATTTTTTTTGATAAAATTGTTAGTTTTTTTCTCATTTTTGACCATATTTTGATGTGTTCATTAATTAATATCTATTATACTATCCTTGGGTAAATACTAGAGTTTAAAGTTAGTAAAATACCGGATCGTCAGGATTTTTAAATTTTTTTCTATCCGGACCGGATTTTCTTGATCAGAACTCGGAAAATCCGGGTTTTATTAAACTACCCGGATTTTGGATCCGTGTTTAAACTCTAGTAAATACACATTTACAGCTTTTCCTGTTCCACTAAATATCAATTATATAATTAGATTGTTTTTTTTTCTTTCCCAACTTTTTGCTAGCTCAAATAAATCACTTAAATTTTAACTCTATCAATTTTATTCTAAAAAAAATAAAAATAAATAAATATATTTTTAATGTAAAAGGAGTTTTTTAAAGTTTTTTAGAATTTTGGTTAATTAAAAGCCATGAAATTATTTTTTTTCTTTTCTTTTTTTTTTAATTTTTGAAAGGTTTTTAGGAAGCCAATAAATGGTTGTTAATAAAGACAAATTAATGCAAAAAGAATTTGAACAAAAATGTAAAATTGAGACTATTCGTTGTGCTGGAAGATGTGATATTGAATTGGGGGATATTACAAAACATAATGTTATGGTTTGGAAATTTTTTTATTTTTTTTAAATTTTATTTTGAGTTTTTAATTTGGGAGGATTTTAGGGTATTTTTTGTCATTTTTTAACTTTATCAAAAATATAGGGTAGCACTCCCTCGAAACTCCGACCCGACCCACGAAGGCTCTACACTGATAAAATCCGAAGACCGACACTCCTGCCCTCGAAGGCTAGGGGTGCTACCCTGCTATAAAGGTAGGCGCTTTGGTTTAGCGTCTATGTCCTGGAAATGCATTTTTTTTTATGCTTCTTGGAAATATTCTTTAAATTTGGAACTACACCTCAACTTCGATTTTTTAAATTTCACTTAGGAAGCGCGTCCTAAACGTAAGTCTTGAGCTCAGGCCTAGACGATATCTGATTGTGAGTAGAAAATTGCGCTATCTGAATTTTAATGTCGATCTGACTCTTAAATCGATCCTTAAGCCAATGCCTCTATTTAAAAAAATGGGGATGAGTTAAAAAAGATGGGACAATTGAACTTTCCAACAAAAATTTTTTTGTCCGCAAGTTTTGTCCGCAAATATTTTTTTTCATTTTTAGCAATTAAAACGTCTCAATTTGGCTGTTTTTCCAATTTGTTATAACGAAAAATTTTATAAAGAAGTTATTAATGCTGGTGATTTGGCAAAATTGGCTTATTTTAATGATATAATTGTTGGGGGTGTTTATTGCCGTATTGATAATTTGGATGGAATTAAGAAATTGTATATTATGACGTTGGGAACTCTTGCACCTTATCGACGGTTTTTTTTAAATTTTTTTTATTAAAATGAGTTGAGTTTTTTTTATTTTTGGGGATTCTTTCAGAAAATATGAAAAAATTTTTTTGATTAGCCTTGGGGTTTTTTGTCCGCAAAATTTGTCCGCAAATGTTTTTTTTTCCGAGATTTTATTTTTTGTTTCTGAATTTTTATTTTGTTAATCCTGAATTTTTTCTTTTTTCATGTATTCAAAAATTTGAACTGTTTTTGAAATTTTTTTTGTCCGCAAATTCTGTCCGCAAATATTTTTCATATTTTTTTTGTTTAAATTTTCCAAGGTTTTTTTTTCATTTTGAATTTTTATGAGATGGTTTCTAAATTTTAATTTTTGATAGTTTACACAAAAAATTTTTGTTGATTAAATTTTTTCCTTTTAAATTTAACAGATTTGGTGTAGGTACTCTCTTACTCGAGCATGTTTTTTCTCTCTGTAACAAGGATATCCAAATCAAATGTGTTACTTTACACGTCCAAACAAACAATGAAAGTGCTCTAAATTTTTACAAAAAATTTGATTTTAAAGTTGTTGGAAGAGTTGATAAATATTATAAAAGAATAGAGCCTGATGATGCTTTTGTTCTTGAAAAGGAGGTTAATTAGAGTATAATTGGGTAGTTGGAAGGTGAAAAATATTAGTTGAAGTTAAATTTAAAAATGTTATAATAATTATTATTTTTTTCGTTCTTACTTTGGTAGAGTATTTTTTGGTTGTGTGGTCATGTCCGCAAAAAATTTTTTTCGTCCGCAAAAAATTTTTTTGTCCGCAAATTTTATCCGCAAAAAATTTTTTTGTCCGCAAAAAAAAATTTTTTTGTCCGCAAAAAATTTTTTTCTGTCCGCAAATTATAAATTTGTTTAATTTTGGAAGTAATATTAATAGGAAAGCAAATTTATAAAATTATAGACATGAATATTTTTTTGACCACATAAAAATTCCAAAAAAATTCTACCAAAAAATAAATTTGCCTCTGTTGTTTTATGTATAAAATGGTTTTTAAATTAATTTTTGAATTTAATTTTGTTTTAATTATTTTTAAAATAATATTTTATATTTTTAATTTATGTTTTAACATTTATAGAGTATTTTTGATTATTTGGTCCATATCTGCAAAAAAAATTTTTTGTCCGCAAAAAATTTTTTTGTCCGCAAGTTTTGTCCGCAAAAAAATTTTTTTCTAATTTGTGTGTGGCCATGTTTTTGTTTATCTTTTTATTTAAGCTAATTTATTTTAATATTTTTTAAACACAAAAAAAAATTAAAATTGACCCCTCGATATCATTTTTGAATTTTTTTTGGCCTTAAAAAATTTTTTTCTAGATGAAAAAGCAGCCAATTTATCAGAAAAGAAAGGCGGAAATAAATTATAAAAAGGGAGTAGTCATTTTAATATTTTATTTTTTCAGTATATCAATGAAAAAATGTTTTTATGGCGTCAATGGAATTTTTTTACTTTAATAAATTGACTGGAAGTGCAAATAAATTTCTCTTGTAACCTAACCCAGAAGATCAACGCAGGCGCATAAACAATTTAGTGGTGATCTTCTGGAACATGTCGATTTGTCCTTTTTTTATTTTAGGGTAAAAGAAGAGAGGGGGGGGGGGGTTATTTTGTAGTGGTGGTTTGTAAGTGGCAATGTCGCCGCCTTTTTATTTTGGTTCCTAGCCAAATATCAAAAAGAGAGTTTGTTTGTGTCTATTCATTCCTTTTTGTGTTGACACTTGTAGTGTATTTTTTGGGCACGTGTTATTTTTATAAATCTTTTATTGAAAGCCAATATCCTCTCTTTTGTTTTCTTTTTTTTATTGTTATTAAAAGCATGTATAAGCTGGCTTATACATATTAATAAGAATAAGTTACCCCTTTGTTATTCAAAATTAAAAAGATTTTTTCTGAAGAATATTGGGTCAGAAAAAATAAAAATTGTTTGTGTTAGTGTGTGGTCAAGTTGGTAAGCTTTCTGCTTTTGGGGGTGAGGTCGTGTGTTCGGTTCCTTTTGAGTCCTATTAATTTTAATTTGTTTCTTTTTTCATTTTTAGATGTTGTAAATTTTTTTCTTTAAAGTATTCTTTACTTTTTATTTTTTCTTATGGGAGAACCTTTAAAGCTTGAATGGCCTGTACTTTTTGGAAAACTTGTTGAAGCAGTTACTGATGTTGGTGCTGATGAAGAAATTAATTTTTTGATGTTAACTGAAAGCGAGGTTATTTTTAAAGATTTTTAGAAGAGGTTTCATTTTAATTTTTTAGAAAGAGAATTCTGATGATTGGACTGATAATTTATTTTGTGACTGTACAGCAATGACTATAATCGATAAATTTGGAGAAATGGTAGCTGTTGTCCCTTTACATCAAATAGCATCGGTATTTGTTTAAATTAAAATTTTTGGGGATTTTAGGTGTTTAACATTAAGTTTTTATTTTATCCTCCAAGTTTTTTAGTCTTAAGCTTTAGAGAAGGTCCTTTCTACAGAGATACTGTGTTTAGATATTTTCTCTGAAAATTTTTGAAATTGTTTTCATGGATATTTTTCTATTTCTTTAGAACCTAAAATAGTTTTTTCCTCTCCTGTCAGCTCGATAGTCTTCAATTTTCCCAATATTTATCAAAAATATCCATGAGATTTCCCGTCGTTTTTTAATTTAAACTCCAAAAAAATCGTTTTAAGTTTATCTAGAATTTAATGGATGACGGGAACACTTGATTGGGTTTTTGATAAATATTCAAAATCTTTTTGAATTTTCAGTTCTAAAATTTTTTTGTTCACGAACTACTTGAAAATTTAAAATTTATTTTAAATTTTTTCTAAGGTCGGTCTATTACCCTCTAAAAATATTCTGTCAGTGAGAATTGGAGATGTCAATATATCCAAAGATTTGTTTGATTTGTTAATTATTTATGTTCCAAATGAAGCAATTGCTAAAGAAATTTGTCAACATTTTGTTAATTGTTTTCAATTTATTTATCGAGAAGCTATTAGTGAATTTGAAAAGGAGGTGGTGGATGGAGAAGATGTTTTTTTGGTGGAACAACAAAATTTGGATTTGGAAAGTTTGTTTACCTTTTTTTTTATTTATTTAGTCTAATTAGGAATTTTTTAAAAATTCTTTGCGTAGATTTTCGAAGAGGCAGAAGCCCCCATAGGCAGGGAAACTCTTCGAAAACTTACCCAAAAAATTATTTTTTCAATTTGTAAAGGTTAGTGATTTTACTCCATCCCAGGAAGACATATGTTATGAAAGTCTTTGAGGCTACCTCTTGAAAAATTATTTTATAGAAAAATTTTTTCGAGTATTGTTCCAACAATTTCAACTGTGAAAATATATTATAAAAAAAAATTTTTTTTTAATTTTTTTTTCAGAAAAATTCCTCCCCTCAACATTAATTTCTTCTTCATCAACATCAGCAAGTTTGTGTTCTTCACCAATTTCAAGTATTTTTCAACAACAATTTAAAACAACAACGTGTTTAAAAATTGAAGAAGAAAATTTAAATAAAAATAATTATTTAAAAACAAATTCAACAACAACAACTTCAAGCCTTTCCTCTTCTTCTAATTTATCAACAATAAATATTTGTGGTGGAAGTGGAAGTTATGTTGAATTAATTAATGAATACTTAACTGATGTGAGTTTTAGAGGTTTTTTTTTAATTTTTATTTTTTTTTGAATTAAGAAAATTTATTTTTGGGGAAAATTTTTGGAAAAAATTTTTTCTCCAAGAAATAAATTAAAATGAGTCGAAGGGAAATTTGTTTGGTTAATTTTCCCTCATTTCCCTAGATATGTAAATTGTTTTTATTAAAATTTGTTTTGATGGTAGATGTGGTGTAGTGGTTAGCGTTACTGAATATGTTAATTTCACTGTGTGGGTTCGAATCCTTTATGCGTAATCTTTTTAGTTTTGACGATTTTTAGGGTGTTTTCGATAGAAAAAAAAACTTTTTAAATAGGAAAAATTTTCCAAAATTTTTCAAAATTTTTTTCTGCATTTTTCACATTCTACTTTTTTTTAAAAAATTCTTATCAATTTTTTATTACTTCCATTCCTCTCTACTCTCCTAATCTTTTATCTTTATTTTTTTAATTATTGTCACTTTAAAAGGAAAAATTGAAATATGAAGACATATATAAACACTTTAAAAAAAAGAGGCCATTTTAGCATTTTTTTAATGTTTATTTATTTGTGTACTATATAAGGAAAAGATTAAAAAAATAAAAGAGAAAAAGCCCTTGTATTTGGGGGGAGGGTAAAATGAATCCATGAGAGAAATGGAAGGAAAAAAAAAATTTTTTTTAATTAAAAAATACTAAATCCATTAATGTTGGGAGGGGATATTTATTTTTTTATTTTAGGATTTTTATTTTTACGAGTATTTTGATTTTTTATTTCGTAGGGTTTGTGTGAATGTCTTAAATTTTATTATTTTCTTGCGGGCAAATTTTGCGGACATTGAATTTTTGCGGACAAAAATTTGCGGACACTTTATTTATTGCGGACACATTTTTTAACATGCGGACAATTTTTTTAAACCTAAAAATAAATTTTTCCTCAATAATACAAACATTTTAAATAATTTTTTATTAAAAATAAAAAAAAATAAGATTATTTAAACTAAAAAACGACAAACAAAGGATATATAATTTGGCACATTTTTTTATTATTAAAAAAGGACAACAATGGACAACAATCTTTCCAAAAAAATTTTTTTTATTCTTTATAAAAGTTATCGAATTCCTCTCCCATTTTATCTTATTTTTTGACACCAAGATTTTTTTAATATTGATACTGTCCGCAAAAATTGTCCGCAAAAAAGGAATTGTCCGCAAAAATTATCTGCAAGAAAATAAATTTGTCCGCAAATATTGTCCGCAAGAAAAATAATTGTCCGCAATTCCTGTCCGCTAGAAAGGAAATGTCCGCAAGAAGAAAAACTTTGTCCGCAAATATTATCCGCAAGAAAAAAATCTTGTCCGCAAAAATTTTTCAATTGACTGATAACAAAATTAATTGGTCTCTCAATATTATATTCTACATCCATTCCTTTCTTTCCTTCTCTCTCTCTATCTCTTTTTCTTTTAAAACTATTAAAGCTTTACATACATTTTAATCCTTCGAAAAGCCCTTCGATTTTTATATATTAAGTGCGCGTTTACCTTTCTTGCCTTTTTCTTTTATTCAATTTCCTTCTCCTTTTTACTTCTCCTTTTTACTTTAATTTCCTTCTCCTTTTTACTTTTTACTTTATTGTGGATTTTTTTTCACCTCTCATTTTTTAATGGCTTCCCCCCTTTGCTAACAAGTCAACTACTAGCTACTTGCGCGCTTATTATTTTTCCTCCTTGTTTTATTTTTTCTTTTGTTTTTCTAAAAAATATATTTTTTTCTAGTCAATATTATATAAGTGAATATTTGAAAAAAATTTTTTTGAAAAAAATTTTTTTGAAAAATTGGCCAAAGAATTTGTAAAAAAAAAGTAAAAAATTTTCTCTGAATGAATGGGCTTGTTGTAAAGAAAAAAGAGATTTTTTGTTTGTTTGTTTACATAACAAAAGAGAGAGAAACGTCTTAAAAATAATAAAAAGCTTCTTCCAATTTTCTCTTCTTATCTACAGAATACAATTTTTCGTTCCTTTTTATTTTTAAGCAGTATTTAAGCTTATTTAAAATAAGTTTCTCAAATGTCAAAGCATTAATATATTTAAAATGATGTTTTGCTTCAAGTTTATTTAATTTTTTGATGTTTCGATTCAAGTTTTACTTGATGTTTAATTCCAAGTTTATTATTTTTTCTATGTTTTAATTCAAGTTTATTTAATTTTTCGATGTTTTGATTCAAGTTTTACTTGATGTTTCATTCCAAGTTTATTTTATTTTTTCCTTGTTTTGATTCAAGTTTATTTTTATGTTTTTGTTTAATTCAAGTTTATTTTATTCTTCGATGTTTTGATTCAAGTTTTACTTGATGTTTTATTCCAAGTTTATTTTTCTTGGTTTCATGTTTTTATATTTGTTTTAATTAAAGTTTATTTAATTTCTCATGTTTATCTTCAAGTTTTTCTTAAAGCTTATTTTTGTGTTCTTTTTAATTCTTGTTTGTGTTTTACATTTCTCATGTTTTGCTTCAAGTTTATTTTTTTCTTTGTTACAGTTCTATTTGTTTCAAGTTTTGCGTCTGGCTACATTAGAGTCTCATCTTTAATATTATTAACACTTATTAAAATTTATTTTTATAAATTTTTATTTAATTTAAAAATATTAAAAAATTTTTCCAGCTTTCAACCAGTCTTAGCCACGATGAATTGAACAAATTTGCCATTTTAATGCGTCGTTGGCGTTCTCGTGAAATGCCAATTGTCGAATTTGCTCAAAAATTGTTGGAATTATATGGACCTGAAAGAAGGCATTTATTGGCTAGTATGTTTTTATTTTTTTAAATTAATTTTAAATTAAATTTTCAAGAAATGCGCACATTACTTCGTGGTGATCCAACAGAAATTGAAGCACTCGGGAATTTTTTACGTGCTAATGGTGTTGTGGAAAGTGCTTCAGAAGCAGTTTCTCAAGCAACAAAAATCAACAGAACAACAAAAATTATTTTTTGTGAAGAAAAAAATATTTCTAAAAGGTGAGGAAATTTTTTTTCTAAAAAGATTTTTAATGAGGGGTTTTTAAAAATAAATTTTTTTATTTCAAAACAAGAAGGGAAAGGAATATTTTTAAAAATATCTGTCGGAATCAGGGGATTTTTTTCTGTCGGAATTTGCGTTAAATTTTGGTCTTGCGTTTTGCGTCCTGTGTTTTTTGAGTTTGTCTCTTGCGCCCACTCCTAGTCGAAATTTAATTTTTTTTCTAATCTTTGGCAAAAAAAATATTTTTTTTCGTTTATCAACCCATTTTTCATATTTTTTTTTGTTATTTCCTTCTTTAAAAAAATAAAACAACCCCATTTTTAATATAAAAATAAATAAATAAGTATCACACGTTTCCTTTTTCAATTTTTTCTACTAAAACTAACTAAAAACATTTTTTCTTTTTCTTAAAAATTGTCTTGTGTGTATGATTATATAAAATTAAATATATATTTTCGGTAATTTTCTTTTCTCGATTTTAGTTGATCAATTATATGTATAATAAAAAAATATTAAAAATTAATAAAAACTCCATTTCTTTTTTATATTTCTTTTTTTCCCATTTCTTTTTTATTTTTTTTTCGTTCTCTTTAATAATAATTTTAAAGTCTCTTTTTTTTTAATATTTACTAAATTTTAAATTTTTTTCGATTTATTTCTTTTAATGTATTTTTCATAATTCCTCATATATTTATATCATCTAAATTTCCTTTTCCCTACCTTAAAATTTGTTCTTAAAACCTTTTTCCGGTACAGCTTTTCTTTCTTCTTAATTTACAACATTTATATATCCCCAATTTTTTTTTATTTTGCTAGATTTTTTTTTTGTTTTTTTTTTTTGAATTCAAAAAAATCTAAGGAAACAAGAAATTAAATCGACCCATCTTTTGAGATACGGCCTAATTTTTTTAACTAAAAGAAAGATTATTTTTTGATGTTTTTCAGTTGTCCACCACAATCATCTACTACTATTACCAATTCCTTGTAATCAAAAAAATGGAGAGAGGAATATTTTTTAAAAGTTTTTCTTTAATTTTTTTAAATTATTAATTTGCCAAAATTTCATCTTTTAAATTTCACTTATATATTTAAATATTAGAAAAAAAATTTTCCTTAATTTATTTTAATTCGTATATATTTTGATTTAATTATTTAATCAATTAAATATTTTTTTTTAAATTTTAATTTTAAATTTAATTTTTGTTTTTTTTTTAGATTTTTATTTAATTAATTAATTTATAATTATTAAAAAATTGTGGATAATTTATTTATGGTCTCAACTTTAATTAATTGAAAAAATTGTCAACTCAACAAAAAAAGGAAAACATCATAAAGGGCTATATTTGAGGTCCAATTTTGTCCAAATTGGCTTCCAAACGGTTGCACACAAACATTGAGGTTTTTAATTTTTATTTTTTTGGATTTTTTTTTGGATTTTTGGGTTGGGAAATTAGAGAGGGGGAATAGAAACTTAAAATGTCAAAATTAAAAATATTTTTGGGTTTTTAAAAATTTTTCAAATATATTTTTTTGGTTGACCCTCGGCCTTAGGTTGCTTATTAAAGCTTCGAACAAATTTACAAAAAATTTCTGGAAAATTGCTTCCATTTCTTTTTTTTATTTTTCTGTCGTAGCCCGGGCAATTCGAGAGGAACGACGGCCATCTTCGTGTAACCTACCTTCCAGAACAGCGCATAAAACAGTTTTTCCAGCATAAATTTACTCGGAACAATATCCCCAAACCCACCGTTTTTTCCGTAAAATTTTTTTCTTTTTCTAAGGAGGAGGTGGCGGCTGTTAAGATTGGCAAACTCTCAGGTTTCTTTTATTTTTTTTTAAAAATTAAAAAAAAATTTTTTTTTAATTAAAGTCAGTGCGTCGCCTCCACCATCATCTTTTGGAATGTCATCCTCCCAAAATCACCTGCAAACAAGCTGTGGAAGTGGTGGGGGTAGTGGAAGCAGTTCTAGTCGACATAGTAACAAGGAAGGCGGCACTAGGTGGTAACTACTATTAAATTAGATTTAAATTTATTTTTTTTTCAAAAATTTGCGTATTGTCCGCAAATATCAGTAAATATTTTTTTCTGCTAATTTTTGTTTGAAAATGCAAAAAAAATTTTTTTGCGGACAAAATTTTTTTGTCCGCAAATATTTGCGGACAAAAAATTTTTTTTTATCTGTTTAAAAATTTTTTTAATAAAAATTTTTTTAGTTTCCGAAGTTTCTTTGCCAAGTTACGCAAACCAAGTGAACACAACAATAGTCAGCAGCATCAACAATTTACGGTGGGTGGTTGATTTAAAAATAATTATTTGAAATTTTTTAAAATTTTTAAAAAATTCAAAAATATGTATTTTTGGGGGATTATTTTTTTTATTTTTTTCTTTCTCTTAAAATATTTTTTTAGATCATTTTCACAAAAATTTTTTCGATTTTATTTTGTTTCTCCTTTATTTTAATGTTATTTTCTCATTTAGTTTATGTAGTTATAGGAAGTCTCTAAAAAATTTTTTTTTGATTATGGCTAATAAATTTTTTCTTTTTTTTTATTCTTGTTATTTTTTTCCTTTCTCAATTATTTTTAAAAATTGATTGAAAAATTTTTTTGAAATTTTTTTTTATTATATTTGAGGTTGCTTCATGATTTTTAAAAAATTTTAAGTTAGAAAAAAATTTTTTTATTTTAGAATTATATACGAAATTGTGAGTGTATTGAATAATTCGATTTTTTTAAGTAAAAATAAAAATCAAATTTATTTTTATTTTTTTTTCCTTTTATTTTCTATACACGTTTTTATTTTTACCTCTTCTTTTTTTTAACAAAAATTGAGAAGAAAATATTTTTATATTTATAAATTGTGTGTGTGTTCATTTTTTAAAATGCACTTTTAACTGACAATTTATTTTTCTGAATTTTTAAAAAATATAAAACAGTAGAGTAAATAAAAGAGCACCCCCTCTTTTATTTTTGATAGTAATAGACAAGAAATTTATGAAGCAGAAACTTTCTTGGATAGGTTTATTTAAGTGTTTAGATTCAAGTTTATTTAAGTTTGAATTCAAGTTTTTTAAATGTTCAGATTCAAGTTTTTTTAAAGTTTAAATTTAAGTTTGTTTAAAAGTTGTAATTTAATGTTTTTTAGATGTTTAGATACAAGTTTATAAAAATGTTTATTTCCAAGTTTAAATTTTATTTTATTTGAATGTTCAGATTCAAGTTTGTTTAAAAGTTTTGAATTAAGTTTTATTTAATTGTTTGAATTCAAGTTCATTTAGATGTTTAGATTTGTTTGTTTTAAATTTAATTGTTTAGATTCAAGTTTATTAAAGAAAGTTTCGATTTCAAGTTTATTTATTTGTTTTGATTTAAGTTTGTTTAATAAAACTTAGGTTTAAGGTTTATTTAAACATGTTTAGATCCAAGTTTATTTTTTAGAATGTTTGGAGTCAAGTTTTTTTATAAAATGTAAATTCAAGTTTATTTTTTTAATGTTCAAATTCAAGTTTATTTTAATTGTTTTACTTGTGTTTGTTTTTGTTGTTGATATTTTGGGTGTTTTTGTTTTTCTATTTCCTTTTAGATAATTTAGTATTTTGTTTGCAAGTAGTATTTAAGTAGTTGAAATGTTTTTCTTTATTTCTGAAAGAAAAAAAAGTTTTAAATGCTGCAAAAAATGTACTAAAACAAAGCCGTGCATTTAGCAGCTTCTAAAAAAATTTTCTTTTTATTTTTTTCTTTTTATTTATTCTTTTTTTTTTGCACCAAGACTCTTTCAACTTTCAGACGTAAATAAAGGGGTTTTTAAAGGAGAGAGAAAAAGGGCTTCCACTATAAATTATTTTTTTACACCACCACTACAGCTATATTTAGGCTACACAAAAATATATATACAGCTATTCAATCTCTCCCCCTTTTATTTTTTTTTCTATTTTTTCTTGTCTGCATTTGCAAAAATTCTTTTTTTTTTATTATTTTGCTGTTGCTACCAGCTGCTTGCTTGCTGCTTCCATTTTTGCAAAAAATAAAAAAAAAGAGACGGTGTTTCTCCCCTTTTTTTATTTTTTTTCTTCATTTTCCAAATTTTATTTGTTTGACCCGTGTGTATTTTTCTTCTCAATATTTTTAAATTTTTTTGGGTGTGTGCGCAATTTAAGTCTAATACCATTTAGATAGCCTCAATTTAAGTTCCGTTTATTTAATTTTAGTTAAAAGCTGTTTAGGGGTGCTGCTGATAATAAATCCCCTTTCCCTTACTTTTCTTGACCCTTTAAATAAATACCTGTTTTTATAAAAATTAAATTTTTAAGCCGATATATAAGAGTGAGGTTTGAATGATTTAAAGATTTTTTGTTTTTTTTGGCGCACATCTTTAATTTAATATTTATTTTAGAAAGGACTTGCACCATGCGCATTGATATCGAACTTTTTAATATTTCTTTATTTTTTCTTTTTTTCTCGTTTTTATTTTTTAATACTAAAAACATTTTTTAAATAAAAGGGCAATTTTAGCAATAGTGTCTCTAACTTTACTACACTCCGCCACATAATTATATGAACACCCCTAAATTTTCACTTTTTACCGTATGTAGCAGGCAAATACCGTTTTTTAACCTTAATATATTTTAGAAATCGGCTAAAATGGCCCTAGAAAAAAGAAAATCTGAAAATTGCTTCAGGGTAAAATTTTTTAGAAAATTTTCAAATTTTCGACCGCCACATAATTATATGAACACTTTGGGTTTATGTATTTCTAAGTGCAGGAAAAATCTAGAAAAATTCCAATAAACTTATCTATCGATACTAAGATCAAATAAAAAAGAACTAATCCTATATCTGTTTTAGGTGTCGAGATCTCGAACCCCGAAAATCAACGTAAAACAGGGGTAAGCTGCTTCGAAAAATTTTTTCGGCCCCTTATGGATTATTTTAAATTTTTATCTTAGGCCTATCTGAAAGTCCTTGAAATTTGCTACAAGATAGCAATTACCTTATTTTCCAGAAAAAATATTCTGGCATATTTTTAACTGTTAAATCTTTCATTCTCAAAAAAAGACTAATTGCCCCAAAAAATGCCCTATAAGATCGTTACGGAAGAATGAAGGTAAATATCTCTTAATTGTATTTTTTCTGAAAAATAAGATTTTAGGTATCTTGTAGCAAATTTCAAGGACTTTCAGATAGGCCTAAGATAAAAATTTAAAATAATCCATAAGGGGCCGAAAAAATTTTTCGAAGCAGCTTACCCCTGTTTTACGTTGATTTTCGGGGTTCGAGATCTCGACACCTAAAACAGATATAGGATTAGTTCTTTTTTATTTAATCTTAGTATCGATAGATAAGTTTATTGGAATTTTTCTAGATTTTTCC